ACCCCTTTCTTTTTTCTATAGTAAATCAACATTGTTCTTAGGGGGAGAGGGGGGTGGCTGAAATTACCTTTGAAAACTGACGTTAGTGTTCCAAGACTTTTGGCAGTGATTGTAGCTTGTCACTAGAAAATTATTTTCTTCATATAGTCTTGCGAGCAGATTCAACTTTTCTTAACTTTTACAAATCAAAAACAATTTGTTCTGTGAAGATTATTCAACAAATTATTGGTACTGTAAATCCTCCAATAGCCGCCGGGGGCTTATTTGCAACATGAAACTTTATAGGGGCTTATTGTAATAGGACACATGTATACAATCACGGGAGGTTAGTCCTACCACATTATTCGAAGGGGGGCCATTGATATTAGCGTTATTGAAAAAAGAACAGGCTTCTTTTAAGTTGTGAATTCTAGCATGAGGTCTAAAACTCAAGACAATTATATTCTGAAGTTTTTGTTCTAGCCATTTTGCAATAATATTTGTTTTCTTTCGCGACACTCTTCTGGATTTCCTGTCGCTAAACGCATGAAGGGACTCCATTTATGCCATGATAGGGGTTTATTTGAAGGCATCGTAAATTTTCACGAATTATAAGAAATTAGATTGCCGCATTCTATTTTTCAAACAAAGGCAAGGCGAAATTGAATAGCTCATTGCATTCGAAGTTGAACCAAAAAAGCATTGAAAATATAGATTGATCAACCAATTTTCAACTTCCCTTTTATCTTCAACGGGGGCTCACGACATGCCTCGCTAGCAGCAATTTACAATTTTCCAGTTTCCAGTAATCCAGTTATCCCAATAAAACTCGCTTTAAGAAACGAGACATCTGGGGTCTACATGCAGTGTACAGGCAGTGTACATGCAGTGGCGTAACGGGGGCATCTGGGGCCCTAACAAAAAACTGAGACGGGGCCCCTATTTACGGAATGCAGTAAAGTCCAATTCAACGCTGTATAGCTTGAGCAGCACAGAAGCAGGATGAAAAAGGGTACTTTTTCTTGTTAAATAGAGCAAGTTCAGTTGAAGAGATATCATCAGTTGAAGAACTTTAAAAGTTCTTGGAAATGAGGCTAATTTGAGCAAATCTTAAAAACATGTGTAAAAAAACAAATTTTGTGCCCTGAACTACGTTTTTACGTTACTGGACATGATGGCAATAAAAATTAAGAAACTTCAGTAGGCCAACTCGAAGCAAACAAATGTTTTGTTTTAAAAAAGCCCAGAAGTTTATATTTTTGTGAAAACCATCGTTGTGGCTGGTTGGTTTGCATAAATCTTTAGAGCAAAAAGCATTTTGGTTTGGGTGGGATCTTGAGATGGTGTCTGACGATCGTTGTTCGGTGCATCAAAGTTAATGAAAAGAACTGGTATGTTGCAAGTTGATTCTTGTTCTCTCCGAAACGATTTAGCATGGATTGTTATACAGTGTCCCCCTGTAGTATTGTTAGGTTCCTCGTTTGGTAGCTATTTGGCTAGGGCGCCCGTGAACATTCTTTTTGACGCCCCTGATATTTGTTCGGTAGGGGGGAATTGCCCCCTTGCCCCCCTGCCAGCACGCCACTGGGCAACTTAAATCTTTCATAGAGCCCCCTTTTAATCTTTTACGACTACATTCCTGCTGTAAAGAGAGGTTACTGCAGTAAGTAAAAGAATACAAAATGAAAATGTTTTCATTATTATTATGACAATCTAAAGGACAAAAATAAATCTTACAATTGATAAATGCAATGGAAGACACAGGCAATACATATTTTGCAAAATATTTAAAAAAAGCATTTAAAAGCATAATATACTTGAATTTACTGCGAGATTATGCTGCGAAATACTTCACGCGAAAAAATTCCTTTGAATGCTTTTGTTGACCTCACGACATTGGAATGTAAAGTTTTAGAAGCGTGACAAGGAGATATGGAACATGATTGGCTGCTGATTCGCAAGCTAAAAGCAAAGAAAGTCCAACTCATTTGAACTTTTTTCGCAAAGAAATTCTTCGCGAAAAATCCCAGCACTGCGCATGCCCATAACGTATTTCGCGCGAACTTTTTCGCATTTCGCTGGTTTTTATCTCACTGAAGATTGCGCTTTACTTTCTTAAAAAGTTGTTTTAACATGCTCTTAGATTGAGGTCATCGTTTTTACTTCTCTTTAGATTTTGAAGACCACGTACCTATTGTATACTGACGTCGATATAAAAAACACTGAATTTTCCCTTAGCATTAAAAACTGGAATTCTCAACGTCGACTTTAGTTTCTTATAAAATGATGATAAACAAAACTCTAGTACGTATTGTAACTCATCAACTCTAAAAATGACTTATAAGAAAAGACAAGCACCAATAGAGTTTGAGCAGGTGGGAGTAGAGCTTGGGAGCTCCAGGGGGCTGAGCCCAAGTAAGGGGGCTCACTCAGCCCCCCCCCCTACTCTAAATCGTTGTTCCTTGGTATATGTTGACAAAATCACCATAGTTATAGCAGAGGTTATGATGAGTCTTTTTTAAAAATATAATAGTTATGACGTCATAATTATTCAAGACATAATGACAAGAGTACACAAAAAATTCAAAAAACATCTATTTTTGACATTTAAATAATTTTCTAGGATTGATCATGTAACCAAATTATGTTGATTGAGGAACTGCTAGGAGGTCAAACTTTCTTTTTAAGTTGGTAAATTTAATTTTGGCCAGTTCAATATTAGTGTGAAGGAATTACGATTTTACCCGAACAAAAATAATAAAAAGCTGTAATTTGGCACATAGGTTCCATACGATACTGGGAATAACCAGAAAAAAGTCCCATCAATTGGACATTGGGAATTCCTTATTTGGGCAAATCCCATATGGCGCACTTAATGATTTTGCATCTATAGAATTTGCGATATAAAATGAAAATATTCAGCAAAAGTATCAGCCATTTTTTCCGCGCGCTTTTCAATATTCACACTCGTCCCACTTGTTTCTGCCCAATCACCACTAAATTTGCATATTCTAAGTATACGTATGTTAAATAAAAGTTATTCAGCATGAAATTATCTTTCAAAAGATGTACATACTATGTGCTTTTAGCAACATTAAAATTTTGAACCACTACTGATCAGTGCGCCATTTTGGTATTTGCCCAAATGAGGAATTCCCAATGTCCAATTGATGGGGCTTTTTTTCTGGCCATTTCCAGCTTAGTATAGAACATCTGTACCAAACTACAGCTTTATATTATTTTTATCCGGGTTAGACCGTTTTTATATCTAATTCCACTACACTATATGGCGGGCTGACGGACTAAATATCTTGTTTTTCTGAACAGTGACACAAGCAGCTCAAGTAGAGCATTTCTCAATATACTAAGAAGGCAATCTGTTCAACGACATCAGATTTTATACCTTACGGGTCTTAAATTCTCGGGCCAGATTTCCACAGCGTAATGATAAATTTTTATCCATTTTTTCTTTCAAAATCCTATGCAGAAACGCTACTAACTAATTATTTCAGTTATTTTAGTTATTTCTTGAAAATGACGTCATAGCCAAAGTCATATGACACATGTCTGAAATTTTGTACAAAGAAAAAAAAGACCATACAAATATAAGAAGTAACAAGAATTCCACAAATGGCTATGAAATGAACCCGAATTAAGTGCATCAAAAGGTTCCTTAAACTTTGACCTTGACCACTGTGAAAAATAAACAGCCAAATTCCCCCAATTTAACTTATTTTTAATTCTTTACACAATTTCACACTTCATATAGATACAAATATGGAGCAATGCCTGAATGGACCCAGGGCCTACACCAACAGTAATATATAAGTGAGCGGAGATCATAATACTTCCCATTTGCAAGGTATAGGTCTAGTGGCCTACTGTACAACCCATTTTGTTATATTTTTGATGCAGATATATTTCCTCAAGGTGTTGTTGCTTTCTCGCTGAAGTGAAACGTTAAGACAATGTAATTCAGAATGCAAAATAAAATAATCGATTAAAAGCAAAATTGCTAATAATAAAATATGAAAAGCATAGAAGATCATCAGTCAGTCGTTGCGATGTGACGTGTTGACAGTCCTAAAATTTTCTGGCAAGCATTCAGATTTTCCGTCAAACAGCCTTGTAGGGGGGCGATGCGTCCTCCCTTGCTCTCATCGTCGGCTCTGAATGGGCCCCCCAGTCTTGATAGGGTTAAGGGGAAATGATTATTTAAACCGCCGATGGCCATAATATCTTTAGTCATGGAGGCTCGTAATATTAGGTGAGCTAAGCTTGGCAATAATCCCATGAAATATTTAGTTAGGGAACACAGTAACGAACTTGACCAAATTCTGCCTTTTGCAGACGATAAGCGGCATTTTAAGACGATGTCGGAAAAAATTTGTTTTGTAAAGGTACCTAATCCGGCATGCAAGTACCTTGAATAAAAAAATTCTACTCAACATTTTCAGTAGTTTTCACTTTCAGTCGGTCATTTTGCTTTAGGCCGAAGTTGATGGCAAAGTAAAAATCAGCGTCGCCGTTCAGAATGTCAATTGAGCCAGTCATGAAAAAAATTTATTTAAATTCTTTATCGCGGAAGGGAGTTGTAATAACAAGCACGTAGCTGTAGATGTCGGCCAGGGTGGGCAAATTCGAGCCAGAACCGTAAATGAGGGAGGCAGGCTTAAAAACAAAAGAGCAGATATAACAAACATATATATTTAGACTAAATCGAGCTCACGGAATTATAATTATGCCAGCTTTTGAAAAGGTGTAACCAGGGGGGCAAGTTGTTGTCAAATTTTCATTTGGGGGGCATAGCCGGTCGTCCCCCCTGCAGCTACGTGGAATTTTAGAACTCGCTTTCCAAAAACACACATTTTGTTTTTATTAATAAGCTTCAGCAGGTGTTACCCCCGTCAATGAGAGCATTTTGGTTTTTTCCTCAAAGTCATGCCAAGCCTTTGTCAACTGACAATAATGCAAAACCAAACCCAGAGTCGCGAATTTTATCTTTGTGATCAAAATTTTGCCTCGTCTTTCATGATTTATTTGTTTTTGTAGGAAATCTATAGATTGCGAAGCGAGTTACTGAAGTCTTAACTATTGAAATGCCCTCAGCTGTACACAATGTCAGTTCAGAGTGTTTACATGAATTATTATTCTAAGAAACTCCGTTTGAAGTTGCCAAAAACTTTATGAAAGTGAAAGAAATTTCGACATAAATGAAACAGGCCGATAAAATGAGGCAACAAATAAGAACCTGGGAGATTTTGAGCTAAAATTACTTGACACGAAATTTAACTTTGATAATAAATTGTACTTAATGCGCCCCAGGAGATGTTTGAATGGGAAACGCACGCATTTGATGGCGGATGGAGGCGTCCTATTACAAGATTAACATATTTTGTATTGATATTTCCCTTTTGTTTTGTTACTCATTGACATGCTTCTTTTAGGTTTGTTGATCGACGCCACAGCACCGGTTGAGTGCTTGCCGTTATCTTCTTTTCACGGGGGTAAATCGCATGTATACATACATGACAGGTAAGGAATCTATTTTTCAACCAAAAAATGAATACAAATTTCGACGAAATTGTTCATGAAATAATTGCTCGATTCATAGGCCGTTAATGATCTTAGGTGGATTACAGAGACAAATGCAGCATTTTTTGAATTAGATCTAGTTAAACTTTCCAAGCGAAATCATCAGTTCCGTTCCTTACGAAAATTGCCGTTATTCAATATGTCACGTGATTAAACATTCTATAATTGCTAGTTGTACGGGGGTAAGTAAACTTTATACGGTTTCAGATATCATTTGGTTGTTTCTCGCAAGACATAGACGGATGCCATTATTCTTTCATTTTTAAATGAATGTTCTATGAACTAGCTGAGTTTGTTCTGCTTGGCTTTATTTACAATTTGCCGATAAATACTGTGTTTAATGGAATATTTGACCCATAAATGTAGTCACGTGATTGATGTAATCTGGCGGATGGCTTCGGTGTTGAAATCGGTTTGAAAACTGTTGATCAGTGATACAGATTCTCAAACGTTGGAATGCGTCTTAAAAATTGTTGATCTGCGCATTAAAAGCCTTCAAATATGGATTGTTCAGTCGTCGAGGTAAATTTTCAAAGCTTGTCTATATTTTTAAAGAATTTTTACTCATAGAAGTAATTTCATTTAAAATATGCATGATATAAAGCACTATACAATTTAAGCGTTGTGTTATTTATATATTCTAGTAGCAGAAGTATTGCACTGAAACTAATTCCTATTCTTTTTTCTTTGAGAATCTGCGTTATTTTCCCATCACTAACACGTACAGTTTTCGTGATTTTGAAAAATATTGCTGATTTATAATGACCATTGTTCATGAAGGAAATCAATTCACTCGCACATACGCACAACAATATATCGTATTGTGTTATCACCTTCGAAAGCGAAAATATCTGTTTAAAATTGACAAAAATATTTTTCAGTTTCGTGTTGATTCTACAAATTCTGTTCTTGTATTTTATTCCCAAACCTAGTTGTTTTAATAGTGCGTGCTCTATTTGTCAAAGTATTGTCAACTCCGAGCCTAATTAAACATGCATGTGTATTATTGTGTGAAACACAGCCAGCATTGCAAAACTTTTTCGTCCTAGCTCAAACGTATATAAATAAATTCAAGTAAATTCCTGTTTTCGTTTTCAAAGTTGACTCTGCTATTAAAAATACAATCACAAACACCACTGATAAAAATATTTATATTTTATATTTCAGTTTGTAGGGAAAGAACTTGGACAGCATGGGTCAAACATTTATTTTAAAGAATTTTCTGTGATTGTTGATGGTGTGAGGAGAAGCTATAAGCTTGGAGAATTTTATTTCATGAGGAAGGACCCGCAACAGCCAATATGCATTGCTGAATTTCAACTAATTTGGGTGAATTTGAAAGATGGCAGAAAATTAGCAGCTGCGAAATTATATTTTAGACCAGAAGACACAAATTCGGGAAGACTTTGTGAGCATGGCGAGGTATGGTTAAATTGCTTTTCGCTTTTAAAAACAAATTTCCTATTGTAGCCTCAGAAAAGGGCTCAATTGAAATACCAGACCAATGCAACAAGATAACCGGGGGGTAGTGCCTTAGTTTTGGAAGACAAAGGATAGTTTGGAAAACCACAAATTTCACGAATGCGTAACTTAACCAATTTTACGAATTTCTAGCCAAAATATGGATAAAATTCCCGAAAAGAATGATTCGTGTTTGAGTACAATGCTTGAATCCTTTTAAAATATTTTTTAACATTTGTTTTGGTATTTATTTTATCTCTATATGATTTTTTATATTTAGACTTGTATGCCAACTCCACGATTAAAATTCGGTTTACATTTTTCGATATAATACCGTAAACATAAAGAAGATTAGAGTTCTTGTTTAACTTAATTTGGTTTAATCGCGTCCTATGGTTTGTTTCATTTTTGTTGATGTATAACTGCGGGAAACATCTTCGGACTGACAGGTTCCCCTGCGTTCATTCATTCAGCTAAATTTGTTTTCCTTTTAGTTTTCTGTGACTTAAATAAGATATAAGAAAGAGCAAGTAAAAAAATTATCGATACGCAGTTAGAAAGCAGTATTCGCTCGTGTTTTATAGCTATTTGTCGGCCGAACTAAGGCCGTGATTCAATATACCTTTCACTTCTGCGAGAATTTGACACCTTCAGATCGCGCTCCGTAAATCTTATAGAAAGCATATGACTTAATTTAGTGGTTCAAACCTGATAACCAGAGATTAGTAATTTTTATCGCTCGTAAGATTATGTGAATAAAATTTGAAATGGGCTTTGTTATCAGATTTTATCCGAATTTTAGCGCTTCCGAAGATCGAAATTATTTGATTCGTGGCGGATGTTGGCTTCAGGTTTTCTCCAGCGGGCGAGGAATCTTTGTAATTTATTTGTCCTATTTAGATTATCTACGCCCAGTTCGCCGTTTCGCTGAGATTTTAATACTCCATATTGGCTGAACAGCATAACCGACTTTTTAGTATACGATTTGCTTCAGAAGTCTTAATTTTTTACTTGTTTATACACAACAGGTTGCATCAGAGTATAATTTGTCAGTGAAATTATTTTTGATAACTTCATGTGGTTGGGTGAATTTTATTCCTTTGTGTACAGGATTTATTTGCATTTGAATATGATAACATGCTGACTTCACCCGTTAACACATGGCGTCAAAAACGACAGTAAATTGCTTATTTATTGTTTGGACACATTGCCCCTTGGACAAACTAGATGAAACTGCCCTCTCCTACTCCATTAAAATATCCTGTTAGAAAAACTGATCGTACAGACAACCCAAGCAGAGTTATTTTATAATGACAAAGAATGTTTCAAATAATGTTTCTCGGGAGGATCGATTCTGTATGTCGTCTAAATTCGATGAAAAATTTTGTGATTTGTTAAAAGTATTCTTTGTGATTTGTTAAAAGGGCGTTTTCTTACAGTAAAAAAGCCTGGCCTATACGTTTTTGCATTGCCCCCTCCCCCACAGCCTTCTGATTTGCGCCGAAATGAAATAGGAATAAAGGCTTTCTTTCTTTTAAACAAAGATCTTGCATTGAGAACAAAAAATTCTGTTGACGAAATTCTTGATGGATTTATTTTCGGTGAAAAAATTTCAGGCCTATTTTAATTTTCGGTGTAAATTTCAGTGTGAAGTTGAATTATTTCGGTGGTGAGGAGAATTTCTGGTCAATGAAGAAATGCAAATTTTATGTTATTTTTTTCTTTCTTCAATGTAAAATCTCCAGGAATGCAATCATAAAAGTTACAAACATAAAAAAATTCAATGTCACTTCAATAAACTGAACTGAAGAGTGGGCAATATCATTAACCCTAATGAAAGGAAGTTTTTTATGTCATTTTAATAACCCATTGAGTAAAATTAATTGGGCGTTTAGGCCTACAGCTCGCAATACCATCGAAACTTGAGACGTCCAAGTTCAAACCACTGGAACATTAAAATGTAATAATTGAGGGTATTATAATTAGCACGTAGAAGCATTGGTTCGGCCGATTGAAAACTCAAATTTCTTTGGATGAAGAGGGTGAAATAGACGTATAATTATACCAAGATAAAATAAGTTCTTTTTTTATCTTGGTAATACTGAAAAACAATGCTGGTAGCTAAAAAGTATCTGCAAAAACGTTCCCTATGTACTTCAGTCGTGTTTTGTTGTTTCAGGTTTCAGACATCTGGAAATCCTGTACATGCTCTTGCATCTTTGAAACATCAATGCAAACCTTTTTTGTAATTTTCTATGTAGCACATCAGTGTACAATGAAAATCTAGAGATTTTTCCAGCCTTTGAAAATTTTGGCAAGAAAAATTATTTTCCTGAATCCTCTCGCTGAATCCTCTCGCTCGCTAATCCTGAATAAAGTTATTGTATGGACCTGTTAACATCGCTCTTCGGATATCCGAGACAGCACAAAAAGCAGGTTGTTCTTCGTTGACTATTAACTTTATGTTATTCTTTTATTGAAAATATTTAAAAAACTAAAAGATATAGTGAACATATCATCCTATACATAAAGCTAAATCAAATCAAAATTTGGCCAGGAAAACCAGGGGATGTAAAGCTTGGAGGGGTGTCATTTATCAATGCTGAAAAACAGTATTTTTGCTTTATTATTCTTTTCATAGCACGGCACCCCTCAGAAAAAGTTGAAGGTGTTCTGAGACTGTTGATCTGGATATTATCATCTGATGATCAGCTGATTTGTTGAGATATTTCATTCTATAAATTTCCTCTTTCTAGCCTTTGTTTGCTGTTTATTGGAGTGGTTAAAGGGTGAAAATGTTAAAGCGTTTTCGCGTTGCTGTTTGCCGGGAAATATCAGTTAAACCCTCGGGTTGTCGGTACTCAGATTGGGCTAGCGTTTTCCGAAAGCCATTATTATAGGTTAATTAAATCCTGCTTGGATTAAAACAATTCGCCAGGGAAATGCTTCAGGAGATTACGCGATAAAATTTACTCGCTGGAAATATCGCTGTATTTCTTCGCAGCGAATTTTAGTTGCGACCAAATTGTATGAATGCGATTTTGGTAACCATATACGATGCATGGGCAACCCCCTGGTTCCGAGTTGCTAATCGTTCAATTAAGTTGCATGTTTTTATTGGATTTGCTTTTAGGGGGTCGTGTAGCGGATTGCTTAGTGCGTGCTTCTCGTGTGAAACCCTCCATCGAGACAAACCGAAACAATACTGTGTGTGATTAAATCGTGTTTCGTGAGTTGTCAACTACAATGCCCTTTATTTAACATGCTATGTGAGAACTTAGAGGTGCTAGCTATGCACTTGGGATTAAATGCACGTGTATTTCTTGTGTTCCTGTTCTAAAAGCCGCTCACAGTCCACAATAAGTTTCGTTTGCAATGTTTCCAGGAGTTACAAACATAATTGTTCAATGGCGAACTTTCATCGATTTATCTCTGCTGAAATTTTCGAGTGATTTTGATTTGACGCTAAAACTTTTATCGCAAATAATTGTGATTTTATGGTTTTTTATGACTTCACCCTGACTCTATGATTTGGTTGCTTGGTTGTGAAATATTGTCAAAGTCATTTTCCTATAATTTTATTCTAAGGATATTTTTATTAAAAAATCATGGTAGCAGGTGACGTGTTGATTATGATGGTCCCAGATCGTTGCACTTAGCACAGTTCAGTAATACAAAATGACAGTAGCCACGACACAATAAATATGAACTCTTTTTTATAAAAATGCCATAAATTTTTCCCAGCCTCGATATTCTTGATGAATTTTCATTTCGAGTCCGCATATATTCTTAAGTATTCCTATTTTTTCAAATCTGATAAGGTTTCAGGGGAACATCGCCCAGCCTAGAATAGAAACCACTCTTTTTGAAAAATGAGATATGTCAGTCATGTGAGTCGCTGTTGTGAACATTCCAAAACACTCAATTGCTGAAAAATGAGACAATAATGTGATCTGAGGCTGAGCAATATTCTTATAATATTTATTGGAATCGAACGATTCTGAGCCCGAATATTCTTATGAACAATATTCTTGTAAAAATGAGTGTATATTTGTTAAGAATCGCCAAATTACTGGTATTCTGCCGAAATTACTGTAATTTAACAAACAGGAATGAAAGCTACAATGATATTTTTTATCAGATTAAATTTTAATCTTCAACGTCTGTGGCCTTTATTTCAATTTTGGCAAGCAAGAGTTCTTGTTTTCCTATTCTGAGCCAAGAGAAGATCTTTCAATTATGAACAAAATAAAGAAAAATTGTCAGATAGTATTTAATATCCAAGGGCCAATTCACTGTAATGTTTCCACCATGCAAATGTGTAGATTCAGTGGTTTCTGGTAGGTTTTCTGAAATTCTGACGCTTCCTGCTATTCGAATGAACAGCTTTTCCTTGTACCAATGATAAATATTGCATTTCTTCAACCAAAATTTCACCACCATCTGCTAACTTACGGCCAATATTCGTGCAAACTTCACACAATGTTGATTTGACACTCAAATTAAACGAATAAAGTCACTTTTCTCATCCAACTTTCTCTGTATAAGGAGCTAATTGTCTACGCGCTTATCAAAAGAATTATTTTCATAATTTCTTATGAATTATTCAAAGCTTAATAACTGGTTGGGTTGATTAATGTGTTTATGAAAAGGTGAAATGGTCTTCCTTTTGCTAAATTTATGTGTGCTGAGATTTACATCTTCAAATTTAGCTAATTCTGCACACCAATAATTTAATGTTTCCGCGCACATGCGAGAATAGGAATATTGAGGATATTTCGTGTTTGAACAGCCAAGAATTGTTGAACTGCAGTTTCGCAATCCAGATTTGTTGCTAAGGTGCTCCACCGTTCAATGAATCTATCTCAGTTTCGAGCAGATAGCACATCAAAGAGTATTGATTAATATTTAGAATATTGTTTTAACTTTTTCTGTTATTTAGATATACAAGATAACATATTGCCACTGCGTTGAAAAGTAAGTAACCCCGAAGTCGCAATGACGTCATTGGCACGGCCATTTGATAATGGTTTTTCATTAGTAGCAGAGTTCAAACATCGTTTCATTACAACTTTAAAACATCAATAGATAAATTTTCTCTCACTTGCAATGGTTGTTTTTAGCCCTTTTATACGTTGTGGCTGGTTGGTTTATAATTGCCGGACGTGCAAATATTTTTGGTACATGAATTACCTCTAAAACCGTAATTTAGCCACATTTTGCTAGCAAAAAATATTTTAATGCTAGTTTTCTGAGTGATGAGTAATGGCAAGTTTATGCCAAGCATCGATTTTGATATGCTTCGGATGTTATTTTTGCAAAGTTTTAAGCTTGACGTCATCCTCATTTTGTGCTTTCAATGATTAGCATTGCCTCGAAACTACCCGTTTTACCCCGGCAGACCCTACCAATAATTTTCACCTTTCACAATCATATATCCGACTTTGAAAGAAATCCAATTTTCAAAGTGTTCTCGTCGATTTTCATAACGAAATTTCATGTTCTGTATTCAAATCTTTAGGGCCTTGTTTTTATCCCGAAGGCGCTCAAGGTTAAATCAGTACAGTTTTATTTCATTCTTGCGAGACTTTTTGATTGTGTTGTTATCTCTTATATCGGGCAAGCCAATCCTTGATAAGGTTTGCTACGTACATGACTACAATTTCAAAAAACATTTTGTCTGAAAAGAAACACGAAAAGAGAGAACGAGTACAGAAGTTGACGATTCGAGTGTTGCGAACCTCGTTGCCTAAATTTTAACTGGACCAGTTTCTATTGTTCATGGGCCTAAAGAAATATAAAAACAAACAGTTGCAACAAAATTTGTCTAGAATTTTAAAATGACAATACACCATCGGTATAGATTATGCAGTAAGACAAACGTTTTCCTTGGGCAGGCTATATACTCGGTTTATGTTCGCTTTCGTGCGCAAGTATTTTCTGGCTGCATACTCAAGTTTTTTTTATGTGAGTTCAGCAAAGCGCTTATTTCGTATTCGATTGGATTTTATTACCACCCTTGGTGTCAGGTATAATGGTGGGTTAAGACTAACCGACAAGAAAGCTGGTTGTGTACAATCTTGTTTTGTCCAATCACCACGAAATATTCATTTTTATATGTTAAATACAGCTCTAACAAAGTCTTTGTCATTTTATGTCCTATTATTTGTAAAACTAAAATATTAATGATGCTCAAAATTTCAATAACTTCATAAAATTATGAAATAACAATTAGAAGTTGAATTACATTAGATTTAATTATTAATTTGTGTTACAATAAAAGACCATGTAAAGATATAACATTTTAAAATTATTGCATTATTTTTGAAACAGATGTTCATAGAACATAAGATGTTGCAATTACTATTCAAAACATTTTATTCTTCTTTGTTCTCGAAATGAGACTCGCCATGACCTAACGAACGATTTTACTTTCTAGCTTTTTAGAATTAACCGGGATATACATCGCAAATGAAGCTTTCTTGGTTGGGTCATCCTTTTTAAGGCTACTATAAACAATAGCAAATACCATGGCAACAATTATAAACCAATTCAATTTAAGAAATCATTTTGTAATTAAGACCCGGTTTATGCTTTCGAATCCGCATGTTTAATAAAAAAATATTCAATTTATGACAGAAATTCGCCTTTTAATCTAGGCAGTTGTTCAGGGGTTGCAAAAAGCAGGTGCTGCAGCCCCCCATTTATCTAAGGCATTTTCAGTCACAACACCCTTCTTTAGGAAGTAGGGGCTCATTCCTGACGAAATGTGACCCAAAGTATCAAAGGACGCGTTTTTCGCTGAGTAGTCATATTTTTAATGATATAAGTGTAGATTAAATTGAGATTGGGTAAATACTGTATTCTGATCTTATGGCCATATTGGGTAGCAGAAGAATTCGAAAGATGTTGTGATCATGTGCCTGTTTTGCTTCCCCATCTTCATTTTAAGGAATTTTTCTATCTTTCCAAGCTGGTTTACTCAGATTTATAAGCATTTCAGGCTTCACTGACTGCATGTCAATAAATCTGAAAGAGTTCTCCATGTATTGAATGCGAAATCTGTTTTGTTTCCAAGCTTAAGCATAATCCTTCTGACACAATGTTCAGCTGTTCTTGAAACCATTAATACACCTAAAGCGAATATCTCACATGATGACATATATCAGTTTTGCCAAGGCCGATTTGATTTCAATGCTGTTTCGAATAGGTCAAATATTTTCAGATTTAGCCCGAGAAAACCATTCGCGGCGAGAAAGCAGTGGCTTTGCAGTGTCGTCTCAGTTGTCAGCCAAACCACTTATCCTTGTTGTGGGTTACAAGAGCTGGAAAACAATCATGCACATTGCCGGGAAAACTTCTAACAATTTTGCCTATATTCATTTTTTAAAAGTATTCTAGCAACCAATTCAGTTGTAATAGTAGTGAATGCACTCATCAAGCTTTTCTTTGCCCGAAATTTCGCCTTCAATTCACAATTATCCGTAAAAATGTTGCAATCAGTGCTTTTTCTTAAAATTCGCTTGCAGATCGAAAATTAGTGGATTAACTCTTTTTAATGGAGGTCTAAGCAACAATACAACAACGTAGGTTAACAACATTCAATGTCACTAGGGCTTTTCCGGTGACGTCATTGCGCACGCGCAAGACAACGTCATTCCGCAAGCGTCAAAAGTCGCGTATAAGAAAGAAATCCCTTAGATGATAAAAAGTTAACAAATTACAGTACTGATCACTTTCAACCTTGAGTAACTGGTTTAAAATGATTCTGTTAAAGATGGGATGGGTGTGATTCTAGACGGTAAGGTAAGACGATAGTGAAGAACTCAATACGGCTGATTAGGTGTTCTGTAGTATGTTATTTTACATTACGTTGCTGTGTTTCTGAAGAAGTAGCTTTCAGCCCTTGACATTAAAGAAAGCTTTAAGAAACAGAATATTTTAAAACTGAGTGCTTTTCCCGAGCTTTGTTAAAAATGCATGTATCCTACGGAATTAGGCTTTGTCTACTTCTTGTTCAATAACATCTTTTTTCCAACACCTTCTACTTTTTCACAAATTTCAAAGCTAATTCGCTGTCCAAAATCTTGCTATCATAAATATGTTCTTCTTGTGAACATATTGCACAACATTTATTCAAGTTGAAGCTGTGACGTGGTATAAAGAAGATACGGTTGTAAATTTGCAAAATTATCCAGTAGATAAGACATAAAAAATATATAGAGCAATATAATATTGAGATTTCATTAAATTTGCAGGATGAACTAATGGAAGCCGATCGCTTTGTGTCTGTTTATTGTGAGCAAGTTCCATCGTGGGAGTACAACAGCCGGGTTCCATTTGGTTCTTGCGCTTATGACGGCGTTAAACTGGCTAATCAGTACATAAACCAGCACAATGAGTTGTCTTCATCGGTTAATTGCTGTTGCAAAGTGACGGATAATTGTAAAACGCAAGGGGTTCGAACTCCAGTGAAAGTGTTGAGTTTTCCAGCATATTGCAGATACAGGGCGTCAATGAAGCTTTTGGCTACTGGCTGCAAACTGCCGAGGAACGTGATGCTTGCTAGAGGTGCAATCGAGGTCGATTGCCCAAAAACGAGGATACTCTTTAATCGCTTCAAGTTCCAACACCCCAACATTGAAAGATTTTCTTTAGCTGAAGATATTCGAAGTGAGTGTTCTTCAGTTATACCTCTCAATACTTAAAACTTAAATCCTGTTCGATTTCAGGGGTGGCATTGCCGAGACGTACGCTTGTTTACATTGAAAGCTGGTTATAAATGATTAGCTCCAACAACTTTGAAAGTTCACTGATACTGGTACTGTATTACTCTGAACAACTTATGGTCGTTAAAAATAAGAAAGGTACTATTCTGGGAAAGCCTTTTGAAAGAACTGTTCCCTACAGTTAATAGCTAAATAATGACACCCTCAAAATCTGTTTTTTTCAAATTATTTTCTGATTATAATTTCCCTTTCAATAGAGGGGGCTTTTTTTCGAGAAGGCATTGAAAAGAAGGAGGCCTTTATCTTTACTCGAAGTCAAACAAAATTTGAAAAGAAAATCAAATTCGACTAGGGTAATCTTTAAAGACTTTTCATAGGTGCCTCGTAATCAGACCCCAGTTCACCACTCGGCTTGCCCGACAGTTTATCTGCCGTCACACACTTGCGAGAGATCCGGTGTGCGTGTCTGATACTTTCCTACTTGAATGATGTTTGTTCATCAACTCCTGTCCAGGTGCTGCAGTTTTTGTGGATCGAACACGCGGGCTGCTATTTTTACCTTCGTTCTTTCAGATATCAAATTACCAGGTTGCAAATTGAACATGGCCAAAAATACTTCTCAGACATAATTTGTATATAATTTTACAATTTGTAAATTTGATCCACGCATAACTAAAAGATATTGTAGTACCGGCTGTATTCTATGACTTTTTTTTCAAAGTAAAGTCAGGAACCCACCAATTCAAACGAAAAGCGGAATTAAGAAAAGTTTGTAGAAGGAATCTATTTTGCCAAAAAATATTAGATGTTGCCACTTGATTGATGTATGTCAGGTAGATGTTGTCACTTGATTGATATTCAAGAGTTGGTATTCAAAGGTTTATCTCACACTTGGTGTGCTCTTGGGATGAAAAACAATTCTAGTGGCTTCGAGGCTTAGAGCTGAAAGGAAACGTTGGTCTTATCCATCCTCAATAATTTGTTGAGCCTCGCTCTTTTTTTGTAAAAAAAACAGTCAACATTGAGCACCACTCATTATTTCCTAAGATTTTAATAATCTTAATGTCTTTAAAGTTCAATATCACTTCTCCAATACTTTGGTGCTGGGAATAAAGGATTTGCTGTATATTATAATTTTTTACGGAAGGTGAGAGAGCTTTGAAGTTGATTGTGAAGAATTCATGAGACTTTATGAAGAATATATATTGCTTTCGTCTGACCTTTTTATGCCAATCAAAAAATTTCAGATGTTTGTTTCATTACTCATTTTTCTATTCACAGTATTGTTTCGAGTATTTAAGTCCTTTTTTTAAAAATGTCCAGTGCACGTTTATAGCAAATTTTCTAAATTAATGAGTGTAATTTGATATTTTCTGCTCAGCAGGCAATAGTTTTGGGTACACTGACCCGGGTACATTAGGTTTATTTTAAAGCTTTCTGAATAGCCAAAAGCAGTGACGTAGCCAACGGAGGGTTCTGAGGGAGTTGATTGCCTGCAATTGTTCGCTAAAATGTTCCCTGTAAATGCAATGACGAAAATATCAGGAGGTTTAGTGTTGGATTCTAGCAGAACTCCGCATTATTGATTATATTGTCATAAGGAATACAGTCGTTCCAATAGGCGCGGTCCTTAAAAATTCTACCGGGGCAAAATTTTGTCTGCCATCAGTCCTCCCCCGAGTCGTGGGAGTTGGGAAGAAGAACAATTTAACCTTTGATTTGAACATTCTCAGGAAGGATTTGGAATCAAGATAGGCACGTTTGGAGAACGTCATTATTTCTCCTCCAGTATTGGCGTCTTGGGCTAGGCTACTGCATGCTATATACTCATATTATGGTTTTTGTCGCAAAGGAAATCCTAAAGAAATCAAAGAAAATTTTCTCGCTTTTTGCTTTTGCTGGATTAGCTATAAATGAATCTCGCTCATGTAAGCAAGAATGAACGATTTTTCAATAACGCTCCCGGCAAATTTGTCAAATTTATGAATAACTAGTTTCTTTGTTGGTCTTGAGTTTTCAAAAGAGAGAGATTTAAGGTGCAGAGTTGTTTGGCACATTCGTTCAGGCGTTGGAAATATGAGATGTTAAGGGTTTTTGATGCAGTATGCAGTATAAAAGTGCACTCAATTCTTCTTAAGTAAAGCTCAAAAGCGCCCCTTATTGCACGGTAGTTTGAAATGTGATAAACCATTGGCATTGCATTTATTTATTAATGATTTTAGCTATTCGCGGATTCCCAATATTTTGGCAATTGGGGAAAGGGATGGCCACTCCCTTTTGCTTTGCCGGCAGGTGGAAAACAACTGAAATGAGTAAATAGTAATCTGTAACAGGCTTCTAGTTTTTGTTAGTTTGGCATTGTTTTGTACGGTTATGTTAAACCTTGCTTTCAGTGGAGGGCCTAACTTGCCCCACTGTTTGTTTTGATAGATAGCTACTTTGCCCTCTAAACATGTCATATGACGTTAATAGTATTCTCGAGTCTAGAAAGCAAAGAATGTATTCATCACAATCTTGTTTAATTGATGATTTCTATCGAAGGATTCTTGAAATAGACTTCAATCTATCAAGTATATAAGCATTTTTGTTAAAAAACTATGCTCAGGACAAGTGCGCAGTTTCTTAATTTTTTTGCTGATTGTAGTATGAAAGTTTCCTAAAATGTCTCTTTGATGCCAAATGCAAAAAAGCTTCTTTTCAAAGCAAAAATAGCAAACAACAACGTAGAATAACATGGCATTGTCTATGTCAATTGAACCAGAAATAGGTTCTTTACAGGTACCTTAAAAATAATTTCCATCCTATTTTCAAATATTCATTTTCGAGCAGTTGCAGGTATTATGGTTTCCTGATTTTTTTATCTTCATAAGGTTCGGTTTCTAATAGACGGTTTCTGAAGGTACTTTTGAATTCATAACGAATAAGAAGTGAGATAAAGCATTTAAGCTGAAGATTTTTAGTATTAAGCTAACACTGTACACGAAAGTAACATGGGAGATCTACAGGTGCTCGAAATCATTTTCTAAAAGAAGTTGTATATTTTTGCTCGAAAAGCTTTGTTTTTGCAAGCATTAAAGAAAAACAGACTTTATCTGCCTTATAAATGATATTCTCCAGAGATTAGAGGATCAGATTTTGCAAGTGGCTGTTATTGTTCGATTGAAAACGTTGTTACAAATCTGATAAGGAATCTTGTTTTTTATGATATATATATGATTTTTGCTGTTCCTGCATATTTGCTGAGTTATCAGATATTTCTGATTACCAGTCCTGATAAGCCGTTTTAATAAAACGGCACCAAACTGGTAAATGTTAACTATCTTCACAAAGGAAGCAACAAAGGGGTCACAGTGCCTCGGCCTCCATAGCCCGAGTTCTTTGTAGTTTAGGATGATTCACGCCCTTTCATCTTTCTCTTTCCTTGGACGAAGTTGAAAAGAAAATTTAGTTTCGAATAGACAAGAGAGCAGGGACAAAGCTGATGGGTAGGTGCCACAGCCCCTCCCCTGCCACAAACCCCCTCCATTTTTCAACACGATGAAAGAACACGATGAAAAGAAATATACCAAGTTGTGGATCGAAATATAATACCCAATTATTTCGATCCACAACTGGGTATATTTCTTTTCATCGTGTTCTTGCGGACCCTTATTCTGACGTTTTATGCTCTGAGGAGTGTCAGACGAAAAAGCTTTTAGTATGTTGTAAAATGTTTGCTTTTTTCAAAGCCATTTCAAATTCTGTACCGCAAAAAAATTGTTCACGGTTTTCAATTTGTTTGGTCCATTTTTTCAGAGATGATTTCATAAGCGATAAAAATCTCTTTGTCTTGTGTTGAAAGTATGAACAAAATGTTTGAGATATTTTTATATGAGATAGGGGGAAATTGACCTTGTAAATCAGCCTACAAACAAGCCCATACACATCCCCCGGAACGGCGAGTAAATTTCTTCTCTTGTGGTCTGTGGCCTGATGGGGAACTGGTAACTAATGACAAAAGGACACGTGTCCAAGATTAGCCAGATGGATGCTGAATGGGATATTAAGAATGCAGACTCACATTGACAATCGTTTTGCGTGAAAATATTTGAATTGAAATAAGAATTTAATTCTTGATTTAGCTCACTGTATTGTTTCGCCTTCTTCTTTGATAATTTCATCCTGCAAATTATGGTTGCAAGAACTAAATATTTTGATCTTCTTTAATTGATAACTAACATGGTAAATGAATCCAAAATTTTAATTAAAATTTATGCAGGAACTTCAACTTGACATTTTGGAGATTCTGTTTTGTGAATGAAAGCATAGAAATTGGGTTCTGTATAGGAATCCGTTAATACTGACAACCGCACTGGTACAGTCAAGTCTACAAGGCTACCCACGTCAGGGACTACGAATTGTTTCAGCGAGACATCGTACAGTGTAATATAGCCCTGTCAAATTTGTTTTGCTTAGGTTCAGGGTTTTAAAGCTAGGGGTGCTTGTTAATGTCGAAACGAAGCCCGTTTCTACCTTTTGCAATTGTTTTTGGCAATTTTTGAGAGGGCCCTCTTGCTCGTATCATAGCACTACAACAATGTTTATCACATGTTTATCGCTGATTATGGAGAACACGATTACAATGTGTCCCTTCATTAAAACCACGATTAAGTACATATTGATTGTTTCCTCTATCGTCTTATCTAAATGCAGTTGTCAGAATGTTATAATGTCTTTCTTTGAGTGATCGGTTTAATCGAAAACCTTTTCTTGTTCCAGTCCCACAGTTCAAAGGACGACCCAGGAAAAGGAAGCAAAGCAAAACCAAAGCGACAAATGATGCCAAAAAGACAAGGGTAGAGAAAGAGAACTCGATACCTGAATCGAGAAATATTCTTCAAATGTCACCTAAAGAAGAATTGAAACCCGGGCGCAATCCTACGTATAGAATAATTGCTCCACCGGTTGATAGTAATCCGGACAGAAACGTCATCCATGTGAAAATAGAAAACAAAAATGATCCTGGGAATTCAAAGGGCATCAAAGAGGAGATTGAGTATAGCAAAGTAGATGAGCTGGACAACGATTTCGAACGGAGTTCCATGGAAGCTGAAAGTGCATCGCCTGATGAAGATGACGATTACAAACTTGCAATGTTTGGAGATTCAAAGTTCTTTTCAGACGAAATGGCAGCAAATGAAGAGGAGATGGAGATGAGAAGGACCAGGTCTGTGAAGAGGGAAGACAGTGATGAAGCCCCTCCTTCGGAACTCGTGAAAAATGGCAAAACAGGCACAATATTAGACGAAGCTTTTTTCAGGGAAATGAAAAACGGCATAATAGCTGGCGAAGGAGTTGATAAAGAAAAGATGATAAAGGTAATGATAAAACTTGTTGCCATGATGATTTTTAATCAATTGTGTCAATGACCTTGCCTTCTTTTTCTTCCATGCTTCTCGCCATTTCTCTTCTCTTTATATCCGCCCTGCTATTCTCTATCTTCTGGATTTCTTTGTTCTCCCTTTAATAGCTGCTGCTAGGAATGTGGAAGGGGCAGGTTGCAAGCGCCCCCACAGCATTATTCCAATGGAAATATTCTGTACCTGATAATTGGCTTTTATCTGGTAGAGGGGTGAATTCTTTGATGTCACGCACAGGTCACCAAAATATGCATTTTAAACGTATCAGTTCATGTTAAATACATAAAGATATTAAAACTGTAGTTCAATTATATGTTCTTGAAAATATAAATTCTGTGGCTGTGATATCCTTCCTTCAAGAAAACTAAAAGATGAAATTTTTAAAATTTTGTTGTCTTGCAATTCAGATATGCTCTCTTTTATTTCCTGAGCCTCAATATTTTCCTGTATTGAAATTACAAGATGTCATTTTTTGCTACGTTCATCTAAAACTATCAATCTAAAATCTCTTCCCCTCCACCCCCTCCACCCCTTCTCCACCTTTTGTCTTCATGTCACGTTTACCTCCTGTTCCAAAAAAGCAGCCGCGTCGCTTGATAGTGTGGAGAGTTTAAATCTAAGGTAAAATCGAGGATAATCCTAATTGGATCATTATAGAAGGGATGTCTTATCCCAGTGAGGCTTGATGTACGTCGTAGGAATGTTGTTAAAGATGTTCCTTTGTCTCTGTGGTTTCACAACAAGATTTTAGATTTTCCTACATTTTTGTGAATCCTTACAAAAGAATGTTTGGCTTTTATCTCGGCATAATGTAAACCTCATAGGCAAACAAAATAAACCATCCTTTTTTTTCTTTCGTTGAAAGGAAACGTGTACCTCAAAAGGTGTTTATTTTTCTTTCTTGGTGAGAGACTAGCCCCCAGACCAAATGCTCTCAAAACAATTTTGGTAGATTTTAGAAAATCGGGCGCAACATACACATTTTGATAAGAGGCAAAAAACGTTCTTCACCTTTCCCTGCAAGATCGCACACATCGTATTTTAGAAATTATTTGTGTGCAACGGCCCATGTTTCCACCCCACCCCTAGATGCTGCGCCCCTGTCTATACTTTTGCAAACCCGCGATGGATATTTTAACGAAGCGATGATTATCAGCATTTTATTTGATAATTCACAAATTTATAATAACGATCATAAACATGGGATGATGTCCATTAAATCGCTGGCCAAGTGATTGATAGATACTCCATTGTAGTCATCCATTTTAAGAACAAAACTACCTCTAATATTGTCATTCACAAATTTATTTACTTGATGTTAATCGTTGCCTTGTTTGCTTTTCATAATTTCTTTGGAATTATGGGTCGCTTTTTTAGTGCATCCCATGAAACAGCGTATACCAAAGCATATTGATTGACTCGAAAAGACTTACTATTAATTCGAATATCTCCGAGTGATTTAGCAGTTTAAATCTTGGAAATGGATTTTATTTCCCACGGTGAAAGATAATCTCGTATTGATTCCTACAAGTCGAGTCTTAAGTTATTTTTAAGTTTGTGGGGAGTGTTTGGCATGCATAAATTTCGCCTTCTGTAATTTTGTATGGCAGGACGCTGTTGTTGATAACAAATAATTTTTTTGGTTTCACGGGCTGTTAGAGAAGTGGATTCAGATCAATCACACATGACCTAATTATTAGAGGCATACCAAGCCTCCGGCGTCCGGCTGAAAAATTACATAAGCATTTGCTAAATCCCAGAGACGAGCCTCGAAATTTCTAATGCAGATACACTCATTTTTATAAGAACAACTTTTCATGAACATGAGCCTCAAAATAATTACAGATGTTTTGTATGTTTTGTATTATACCAGACGGCCTTAATAGGCAACTCGTGTGCTGTGTTAACCGAATGTCCGCGTTTTTGGTCTCTAATGGAAAAGGGCTTCATTTCAGAGCCACACCCGTCACCCACAGGCATTTAAAACCGCAAAAGAAAACATTGAAATGCACCTATGGCACCACAGATCTGCCTCTTTAGGAGTGGGGTCAGCTTCTTTGTGGAAAGGGGCTTCATTTCAGAGCCACACCCGTCACCCACAGGCATTTAAAACCGCAAAAGAAAACATTGAAATGCATCTATGGCACCACAGATCTGCCTCTTCAGGATTGGGGTCAGCTTCTTTGTGGAAAGGGGCTTCATTTCAGAGCCACACCCGTCACCCACAGGCATTTAAAACCGCAAAAGAAAACATTGAAATGCACCTATGGCACCACAGATCTGCCTCTTTAGGAGTGGGGTCAGCTTCTTTGTGGAAAGGGGCTTCATTTCAGAGCCACACCCGTCACCCACAGGCATTTAAAACCGCAAAAGAAAACATTGAAATGCACCTATGGCACCACAGATCTGCCTCTTCAGGATTGGGGTCAGCTTCTTTGTGGAAAGGGGCTTCATTTCAGAGCCACACCCGTCACCCACAGGCATTTAAAACCGCAAAAGAAAACATTGTAATGCACCTATGGCACAACAGATCTGCCTCTTCAGGATTGGGGTCAGCTTCTTTGACAAATACTCTAGTGTCACCAGCTGAATACCCAGTCTATATGTTTGCATTGGGAATAGGTATTTTCCATGGGCGTCAAACTGTATAAACTTTTTGATTGTTTAGCTGTACGTAGTCTTTATCCTCTGATCATAAGTCGTCCAGATTTCTTGTCCAGTTCCACGTATCACATTCCGGGATATGTATCTAGCTGACAAAACCGAACCGCGAGCGCTTGAGTGCGAATTAAAACGTAGACAGAAAATTCTATGAAAGGACTTCTGGTGACAATCTCCCTGTGTGCATACTCTCCCTGTATCAAGGCAAAATAATATGAAAGCTAAACGAATTCTTAAAAAAAATCAATCAATTTTCACAATTTTATTAGGAAGTGGGAGTCGTTCCGTAATGCGAAAGTTTCACAATGTGGAGTTATGTGGAATCATTGTTAAAGTTAAGATATCTATAATCCTCTTTTCTTGCGTCAATAAAAGTACCTTTTGACCCAGACAAGCGTTGAATATGTTTAATAACTGTAATTTCTCATCTAAGACTGAACTTTTGTTTTTTTAATTTCCTGTTTCAGTTGAAGCCTTGTGATTCAATCTTAGAACAGCCTCGTACTTTTTAATATGAATGGACCAGAGGCTGCCCCCTCCCTCCTTTATTCCTTTTGCCCTTTCGAACAAAGTTGGTGTTTTCCAATTTAGGATATGAAAAGATGAAAGCGTTTCATATTACGGCTGATTTTTACCTTCGATAAGAATAGCATCTAAACCGTCATACACAAACCAAGTTGGAAAGAAACATTACTTTTTTAACAATTGAAGATAAATAAATTTTCTACCAAAGAAAACTAAATTTAAGGATTGTATGGCTGATTTAGCTGAAAAAGACATGACGTCGTCAAGATTCAATTACGACAGCTGCTAACTACAATGGAAATGTATCTAGCGCCCAGAGTAAAAACCCTTCCAAATGACAGATTCATTTCTCATATCTGTACCGTATTATTTTGTACTGACTCTATTTTTAAGCTTTTTTTTTAATTTCCCAGGACAAACTTAGTCATGTTTTGCATTTTATGTTTCTAGATATTAGTGGATGCCTGTAAAGATCAAGAGAATTTCAAACGTGAACTGTTCGTATTTATGAAGCAAAGAGGAACTCCCATAGTATACGTGCCAAAAGTTGGATACACGAGAGGTGAGTAATCAGCTGCCATTAAAGCCTTATAAAACAACATTCTTGTGGCTACCGGGAATTTTTTAGAATTATGCGATTTGTTTCCTTGAGGAATTTTTAGAATTATGCGATTTGTTTCCTTGAGGAATTTTTAGAATTATGCGATTTGTTTCCTTGAGGCTGTCGATCGTTTCAGCGATACCTTACTATTGGAAGGAAAAACTGCCTTGGTGAGCACAACCAAAGATATTCTACAACGGCTGCACGCGAGAAATCTTTCAAAGTGTTTCATGCCGTTCCCATGACCAACCGCCCACCCCTCCACCCTCCCTCCTCCCCCACCCTTTCTAGTTCAAATTTTATGGATCATGGGAACAAGTGCTCGTTTCGACTAACCGGTCGAACTAACTGGTTCTGCTTTATGTTTCGTTCTTGTGTTTCTAAACAGTAACTCTTTAGAACTCGTTTTCTAAGCCGCCATCAAGAAGCTTTCAGTTTTTAATAAAATGTGATTAATACGTCCTGCCATTACAAGACATCTCACTGATTGATTTAACAAAAAATTTCGGTGACATCATGCATAGCTTTAAGTTACCATTTCCGATCGACAAACCTGTATCAGTTTCTCATTTTCGAGTTCCAAAGGGTGCTGGCCGATTACATAATAAAATGCGTTGATAAAACATGTCGAATCAAGTAAATCCCGCGCATGCTGAGCATTCCATTCTATTTGAGAAGTCGTCGTTGCTTTCAGGGTTTTTGCTAGATTAAGTGCAGAAGTTCGTATTTTTCTTGTTTTTTTCCACATTGCCTAATATTTTTAAAATAGATCGCCAGCACTAAATGAATTTTCCATAAAATTTACGAGACATTTTTATTAGACTTGCGTAGCCCAAAAGCTGAACATTATTAAGATTAATTCTTCAATATAATGCTGTTTCAATATAATATAATGCCAATTTTGTTAAACGTCAATTTTGTTGATTTGTCTGGGCAGTTTCGTCCAAAGGTGTCCCTATTTACAAAGCATTTTATAAACCACGTGACCAGATGCCATGTTGTATTCAAGCACATCACATTTCCTTTTGATAGCAATGTTATCGATAATCTTCTATCTAAGCTGTGAAATTTACCGCAGCTCGAATATTAAAGGAATTTTATTGTGAAATGTTGCATTATTTATAGCTTTGGGTGATTTTATCAAAATTTTGTCAGCTTCATCTGTTTGCTATAAGCATGGACGTCCAGACGCATCTGATGAAGGCATCTGATAATTTGTAATTCAAATCAACCGCAGCTAAAGGATTTTATCTTCATGATTATTTTTTTCTAAAACAAGATTTACGAATCTCTCAGTTGGCCGTGCGTTTTTTTCAAATTGTGAATGAATTATACATTTATTCCCCAAAACGAATATCTTTTGTCGCGCTTGCTCTTAATTTTGTTACAAGTCAATAGCTTTTTTGACTGGCCTAACAGAAAGAGATTTTCTAAAATCCTTGTTATTTTTCCTTTTGAAACAAACTTTGTCAGCGAAAATTTTAGCAGCAATTAGAGTGCAAAATGTAAAATGTCCATATAGATGGTATTCTGTTAGCCTTAGAGAAGCCCTGGTAAAAACAAAGCCCAAAATGTACAAATTATCAAAGAACAAAATAAAATAAATGTACAATAGGCACGAAAAAAGTTGCCCGAAAAAGAGGTTTATTAAAACCAAATGAAATAGAGGTTTGAAATTCTCCTTAGTAGAAGAACAACTAAGAAGCCTAAGTATTATGGCGACGACGACGGCAAAACTGTGAATACTAAATCGTGAGCCCCCTTTCTCTCCTCTTGCTTGCCGCTCATGAACAGTGCTCTCCATCCGTCCAAACATTTCCTAATCCTAGAAAATTGTTAAGACAAATTATAGTTTTAAAAAACTGTGTCTTAAAATTCGCAACAAGAATGCTCCCAATCTCCCCAGAGAAGAAAAATTAAAAACTCTTTTTTAATTTCGGCTCCCTATCAATTCTACGAATTTTGTCCTGTTTTGTTTTGTTTTTGTTTTGATGAAGATAAAATTTTCTCTGGCAGCCGGTTCGCGATCTTTTCATCCTTTTTGGGGTAACAAACATCTAGTTTCCCCGTCTTTTTTCGTCTTTGCAAGTAAGATTTATATATCCCTATATATTATGACCATGCCAATTTTAGAATAAATGATCTTGACGACTTCCTTTTATGTGATTTGAGTCTTATTTTTCTTTAAATATCGCCTTGTTTTCTATCTTCGATTCATCGTTATCTATAATATGTTTTGTACATCGTGGGCCTTTTACGTTAAACATCTACAAGTTGCTACCACTCATTTTCTCGAATAGAAAGCTAAGCCAAGCAGTATTGTGGCAGTATCCCATTTCTTAATTTTGTTTGCTCTTATGTCTAAAATCTGCTTGTCAACCAAGTCAATATTATAACAGCTCACCTACCTTTGACCAAACTTTAATGCACGCCATATCCTCGTTTCTAAGTTTCGAACCAACTTCTTTTGTTAAACATCCTTCTCAAAAATATTTTTCCGTCCTGAAAGTTTAATGATGTTTTCTCAGTAATGAAGAAAGGGCCTAGACACATAATCTTGTGAACTTGTTCAACATTCTCAAACCCGCAATTCAAAATATAAGGAATTGAGCTTCTCAAGAGTCTCAATTACTCGTACAGTAGGCCATCAGATTTTTAATTTTTTCTGATTTGCAAATAATTTTCTTTTTGCAGTCGACCTCCCAAAACTGTTCAGTTTGGTGGTTTCAAATGGTGGCTACACCCAGGCAAGTAACAGTTTTACTTCGGTTCTTCTGCTCTTATTTTTTATGGACTCTTATGCTTTGTCGTTGGATCGTGTATTTTGTTCTTATTGATCATCCAGAAACAACTGCATTAGACATGCGAAAGTCTCACCTAGAAACATGTCACAGTTTTTCATTGCATTCAACCTAGCATTAAAGACGCACTACGTTGTATTCTTGTATCGAGGGGTGAATGGGGACTCTGGGGGCTCTAGAGGCTCTGGGGGCAAAAAACAATTGAAAAGGTAGACATTGGTTATTTTTGACATTGATAAAAGGGCTCTGTTCCCCCGGGTCTTGCTAGCATCACACTCCTTCTTGCTTCTAGCCTAGTCAGGAAAAGCAGAGATCTTTAAATTTGGTTGCGGCAACAATCTTCTTTGAGGTAACTATGGGCGGGGATTCAGAGCAGCGATCCAGGATCGATTGCGATTCCATGCCAATTTTTATTCATTTTCCTTCTGTCTTTGCATTAAGTCCCCCCTCCCCCCCCCCCCCCCCCCCCCCTCCATACGTCCATCTTAGCAATAAATACCTTATTTGTTACTGTTGCATCAAGTTATTTTTGCATTCTGCTGGCTATCAAGTCGCGCAAATTACTGACACAGTCAAAAAGGAGTACGTCTTTTAATCAAATTTTATCTAAGTTTTCTTACGTCCCAAGCCCTATATTTGCATTTGATTTTCAATCAGAAGCGTGACTCGCCTGAAATGAACCTGAAAAATCTATGAAATGATTCAATTTATACTAAATCTAATTTATTTTTGTTATCTCCATATTTTATTCTCCAGTGCACACGTTTCTTTTCTCATAACTCTTGTTTTAAATTTTGTCAATAAAATATTTATAAGTCGCAGCATTTTACAGTGTTTTCAAGTGTTATTGGCCTTATAATTATATTTTCAAATACAAAACACAATCAGCTGTAGCAATAGACAGAATGCATTTCGCAAACAGAATGCAACGTGCACCCTCCCTCTGTGCTCTTTTCAATAACCGGTTGCTTATCAGCGTAGACTTAGGCCTGTCTGAATAGCATTCACCTATGCTTGCACGGCTGTTTCATTAAACCTAATTTGAAATCCAAAAGAGCGCGTGCCTATGACTCCTGTTGTCTACTTAACGATTTACCAACTGTACCATATTTGGTCAGTCGGCTACAGCTGGTTGTTTGGTAGCCAATCACATGAAATGATTGTTTGTCTAAGATGTTTCATTTTGTTATCGTGGCGCGAATGTAATATTTTAATCTGAGCAGCTGTATTTTTATATTTGATCGTTCGCGATTTTCAGCTAAAAGCACTAAAAATTAATACCGGTTTTTTCCGGACCGTTGCTTAGCCTTAGATTTGGGGCTAAGGGTCAGTTCTGAAGTTCTGAAGTAAAAGCAACAAAAAGTTTGTGTAAGGGTTTGCAGCCCTTGACAAAGTGTCTATGCCTTGCATTTTCTCCCTTTTCCAGTGTAAACTGTCGGTCCTGACTACTTGGACCGCCCTATTTTTTGACAATGGCATCCAGGAAGGCCTGTAGCCTAATCATAACATATAGAACATATAATACAGCGTGAAGCAATTGAAAATGCAATTTGCAGCTAAACTAATATAGTTGTGATTGAAATTAGTATCCTTGAGAGATGATTACAACTAGGTTGTTGGTGTGGTTGATAGATTTGTGCTTAGAATAGCAGATAAAAAAGAAGGTCGTATATTACATAATTGTTTTCTTATGCATGGATCGTCCAGTCAAATGTCTGGTTTTTTACCTGATTTTTTTAATATCATTGAGATTAAAATTGAGCTGAAACGAAAGAGGTCTTAAAATGATCATAAATTAAATTGAGTATTTTGAAGATATTCTGTAGACATGGTAGCTATTAGATTGAATAAAAATTAATCAGTTGAAGTATTATGTCATTGTTGTTACTGAAGTACTGCCTGGGTAACTTAAAAATACATCATTGTGCTTTAATACTGCTTTGTTTTGTTTCAGGTGACGTTAAACCATAAGTGGAAGAAAGTTTATGATGAAATGGCTTTAGCGACGACAATTACAAGTGCAGCCACTTGCATGAGAAGGCATTATGAGAAGTAAGTCAATGCCATTGTTTTCTTTCTGGTAAGCAATCACTGTTTACAATTTCCACCACGATGCACAACAAGATCTTCCGTTGGAAAATTTATTTCGTGTTCCATTGGAGGGATGCTTTGAAGAACACGTATTTTTATGAAAAGAAATAAGCGAGTTTGATAAAACATCGATATTTCCTTAGGATAAAGAGGATAGGAAGTGGTTTCACAAGGGAAACGACAAGGAGATAAAAATTTGATTGTTTAAAGACGGTTGGAAGAATACTGCATTTCCTTTAACAAAAAGGCACGAAAAATGCACTTTAAAGTGACACAAAATACCAATAAAACGTTGTAAGCACGCAAAGTAAAATATCTGAATGCGCCCCTAGCTTTAATGAAATCTGTCTAAATTTAAGTGTGTCTTTGAATGATTTGAATACTGATTTGGTGATATAGAGTTGTAATCGTAGCGAAAAATAGACGGGAAAGTAAAATAATGTTTTTGTTTACGACCTAAATGTAAAGGACTTTTGAGGTAATGGTTTCAAAAATTGGTTTTTCTGTAACACCCAACGCATGAAAACTCAAATATTTTCAAAACATCTGCATACGTTTGCAGCTTTTACTTATCACATATTGAGATTACCAATCAACTTTCCAAAAAGTTTTTGCGTACATCCAATCATCTAGAGAACAGCTCTTGTTCCCTACACGACATCATTTAAAATGAGCCATCGAACATAAAGTTTCTCTCACAGGCATGAGCCTTGCTGGAAAGTTTGCCGTTGATACGAAAGATCTTATTATCAGCTTCAAAACCGTCTATTGTCAACGAAAGTATTTTGCACTCAATCACATCGCATTTAATTCTCAACTGATTCATTGATAATTTTTGTAAACACAAATGGTGGATGTTTCTTTTCATTTCATTGACATTGCTAACCATTTTGGAAATAAACCTTTGACACGAAGAATAGAAAAAATAGCAGGATTGACCATACACACCTAATGCTTAGTAAGGGCCTGTTTATATGAGCAAATTTATCCCACCTCTCAACTCATTTCAATCTGTGTATAGAGAAAATTATCCCATCCAGCCTGTATGCTGACAAGTGGGGCGAGATTTGATCGCGTCTATATGAAAATTTCATCCCACCCTCCACCTTCATCTAACCTTCCAGCGTTTACATGGCAGAAATTCATCCCACCCAAGCAAGATCCCGCCCCTCACGCAGTGGGATCAACTAAGCGGGCTGCCTCTTTTCCTTTATAAACGCAAGTCAAAAAATTCACAGGATTGTATAGGAGGGTGGGGTCTCCGCACAGGCGGAACGATGGCTAGTTGTTGCTTAAGTTGTCAAGTCACTGATATGATAACCACAGATTCCTTTATTGTTATCTCACAGAAATGAAAATGAACAAAGCATTTCTCTAGCATCTTCACACTTTCATTTTGCAGGCTGCTGCTTCCGTTCGAAAAACATCTAAGAGTTAAGCACAAGCAAGACGCCCTTGCAAATAAAACCTACTCAATAACGGCCCAGGCCAGTCAGCCCTTGGTGTTGACAATAAAGAAAGTCAAAAAAGAAAGCCCCGTTTCACCGTCAGAAAGCCCAGATGACTCGCTGTATTTGTCTGCACACGAGGCTGATATTATTCGATCCCCAACCAGCATAAATTGCAGACATGTGGAAACTAGCCAGGAACTGATTTCCAAATCTGAAATATTTCACGCTAACAACAATGCGAACATTAAAGCTAGTACAACTTTACCTATGGCGGTATCGCCAAAAGAAGAACACGCGCGTAACATGGATGACCGTAAATTCGAACGCACTAAGTTGCAGCAGGGTCAGTACCCCGCCACTTTCAAGATCGAGCCCGGATCCGGAGAAACCGCTAAATGCATGTCCAACCCAGATATAGCAAAGTCGGATGGTAGCTCGCAGAATCACCACGCAACCAATACCACTTCTACAACAGTGTGCGCTATACCGTTGTATAAAGTGTCTGAGCATGCTTTTTCTCTTCGAAAAAATGCACACACTACCTCGATCAATGCAAAAACCATCTTACCAAAGCAATCTTCTTTTGTCATTCCAGTTGTTAGTGCTGTACCGGGAGCGAATGCAAATGTCACTGTTTCATCGTTCGTTCCCTCTGTTTCATCGACGACAATGAATTATCATCCTTTACATGGCAACGAGGTTACTGTAATCACGAAAGCGAGACCAGTTGAAAATTTCGGCCCGCTGTCAGTGAGTTCAGCACTTCAAAATATTAATCTTCAAAATCAAAGTCAACCTGTATTCAAGAAGCGAAGGGGTAGGCCACCGAAACATGCCAAGGCTCAAATGCAGCTTTTAGCATCGTCAGTTCAGAAATCTGAATTAGGCTATTTCGAAAAGTCTCCTAACAAAAATGGCACTGTTATCCACAATTATTCACCTCACGTTGGGGGAGACGTACCTCGTTCGATGCATGTCATGATAAAAGCACGTTTAATAACACAAGGATAGCAACAACAACAACAGCTGTCCGGGGTACGCGGATGTGTGCTACGGAAACGGAGAGACGATCAGCGAAGAAGGCCCCCGTGAAAATGTACGAATATGTGATGATGTCTGATTCTATGAACAACAAGCTTGTCAAGCACAAACAAGGAGTGATCAGGTTCCCTAACTTTACCGACCAAAATGAAATGAAAATCAAAGATATTGCTGGCATGCCACCAGAATACTTGAACCCTTCTTTGTATATGCGTACAGTTGATTATGGAGAGCTGTGCCAGTTATCGGGGGTTAATAGAGACACAAATCAGCCCAGGATTGAGTCAGTAATGTCATTTAGCAGTAAAGGCTGTGTTCCAAGCACATTAATGTATGAGGGTCATCGAGGTGGGCGTTCATCTCCCAAGGCTGGAGAAGTTGATGTTGACAGAATTGAGAAACCAACTAAAAATGAACTAGAAACAGAAGTACACGGGATCAAAGAAGAACATCCTGATCAGCATGATGACGGACTTTCGAATGGTGCAGAGGCGCGATCTGTAATTGTAGGGCCACCTCCTCTGATACCCATTTCTAAGGAAGGCAAACGAAATAAAAGGAAGTTATTGGAACACGGCGATATAGCAGTGATCACAAAAGGACCCGAAAACAGACCGAGCCCGCCCAGCAAAGGCTCTTCTCAACAAATTTCGCTAATGTCTGATATGAAAGCGCTAAAAGAGTCATTTGATAAAACTATTGACCAGTCGTTACAAGATTTGCGAAGAGTGACTGAGAATGAAACTGACAGGGAAACAAATCATTCAAGTGGACAACGTGATAAGATGGAGGTTTACGCTGCAGATAGCGAGAGGCAAACAGAGAGACACGGAAGGATGAGTGACCCTATGTACAAAGGAAAGTATCTGGCAGTCTCAAATCACGGTGAACTGAAGGTACTTACTGACAGGATGGATGCTCGTCATGAAGAGTTGTACATTAATGCGAATCATCAAATTGTTGCACGTGATACGGAACATAAGCAGGAGTATAGTCATGAACACGATGCGTCTGACAGGTTACTGCGTATCGCATCACGTGATAGTTTTGCAAGCCAAATGCCGCATGAACCTGCTAATGTGCACCATTCATCTGCTCATACACGTGAACAACCCAACTTCGGTACTGATTCTGAACGCAACTGTCGAAGTCGCTCAGCGCTGGCATATGAGAGAGCAATTATCGAGTCTTACGAGCAGAGAGGAATTGGAAAAAGCAAGTTTAGCGATGACTTGATACATTCAAAGTATCTTGAGGCCATCTATTCGCAAGATAAAGGAATTTCGGCTATAGAACATGCTTCGTCGGATTGCGGTGAACAGTCGCGAGTATCAAAACATTCACATGGAAACAGAGATCAAAGAAAAGACCCACGTTCTCAGACAGAGGCCCATCACCACATTGATTCTCACCACTATATAGCTCATTTGCATGAACACGGATCGCATCCGTTTTATCATGATCGCCATCATCATGATCACCATCAGAATCATCGAATCGATCACAATCAAAATGATCACCGTCGCAATGGTCACAAAAGCGACCACCGCACTGATCACCATCACAGTGACCATCTTAGCGATCATCATCAGTGCAGCAACCGTCATCGAAGCGATCACCCTCGCAGCGATCACAGTCTCAGTGAACGACATCACAACGGACATCCTTACCCTGCGTCTGTGTCGCCAAGTGAAGACATGGCTGCGCTGCGTTACTCAATGCATCACAGCGACCATCGATCAGGAAGGCATATCACGACATTTCAAGATGCTGCCCATTTAGACTATCCTCATCACGCGCTTTTTCCAGGAAGAGGCAACAGCCCTTCATTCGAGCGCAAGCATATGGTTGGGCTGGATCGCTCTCCACCCCCGTCCACGATTCACCATTCTTGGTACAGTCATCACATGGCGGTTGTTGGTAAAGAGGGCTCAAAAGCCATGTACTGGCACCAGCAAGTGCACCATTAGAGACGGGTTTTTCGTTGTTTATATTTTGCAACTGATCAGAAACTATAGAATGCGTTAGTTTTAAAATAGCATTATCGTGCTGCCACTGAAAGAAAATGAGTATCTCAATATTCAGGAAAAATTTATAGAACATTGAAGAAAAAAGACCTCGTTTTGAAACATGATTCTGAATATCTGCCTGGATTTATTCCTACATTTTGGCAAAATAGAATTCAAAATCGAAAAAAGCACAAAGTGGTCTTTATTTGTCTACAAGAGGTGTGTAGATTTGTGATAATTATGTAAATATATTGTATTTCTCACTTTGTTGTTGTTAAAGCCTAAATGCCGAGTGACTCTTTTGTACTGAAATGATTTTTTACCGACTTGTGTTTAGAGACTTGTTTACATACTTTAGGTGCATTGAATCACTTTAAACGGGTCTCAAATTTCTAGTTTGTGTATTTATTATGAAGATAAATTTATAGGAGGGTATTACTATGAAACCTTTTCACTTATTGAAAAGTGTTATTTTCCAATAAGCTATGTTAGTTTAGTGTGGATTCCTAGAATTAATTTAGGTCAAGTTTCTGTTGGCCGAGGCGAAAATGAAGATGGACTTTATTATCATGAATGTTCTGTTTAAATTGATTCAATGCCCCTTGAATTAAATATATGTAATTAGCCGTTCGTGATTACACATATGATTTTAATATTATTGTATCCATGCTAGTTCACTATCCATTTATCGATTTAAGTTGTCAAACACTCTTACCTTAAATTTTATCTTCACTCTCCCCCAGCCCCGTATTAGATTTTGTAAGAAATTCCGCATTCCATTTTTAGCTTCCGGAGTTCATAATCAGTTCCATGAAAACATTCGACTTCGCGTCCAGAAAGAAACTTAGCCTTCTCGTCATTTCGCAGAAAATTGTGGCGTCCTAGGATCTTAATCATTTTCCGCTTCGCAATCGATAATAAGCTTGAAATGAAAAGCAAGAGAAAACCACTCTCTCCGGTTCTATTCAAAAATAGTTCATAGATCGAGATGAATTGCCAAAAAATGACAAAATCTCTTTCGGCCAATAAATCTTTCCCTCTTTTATGACTGGCCTTGACAATCATTTTTCAGCATTTCAATGAAATTTTCCTTCGATGCTCTAACATTGAAAGTAGAGTTGTACCCTTTCGGATTCACTGCTTTACCCAGGGGTGAATTTTCCTCCAAGGAAACATGTACCCAATCATAGGAAATACGATTAAGAAAGGAATAATGAATATTGAACTCGTGACAAATTTAGAGCATACCAAATAATGATTAGATGAGAAAAACACATATTCGCAAAAAATGTCCGTGTTGAAAAAAACCGTACCCTGTCGAATGATACTGCTGCAAGTAATTGAGAAACTGAAACATTTTATTCTCAACAGGTATCACACACCCTTATTGCCTTTGACAGTAAAGGTGTTGCTGTCTTGAGAACACGGAGCGTAAAACTATTGATATAAGAGATGTACTTTTTGACATTGTTACCTGTATTGAACGTGTCTAATTGTTGTTTGTGTAATGGATTTGAAAATCAAAACAGAAGTTTTTACATAGGTTTGTATTCGAGAGCGTTGCGTGTCGTTCTCGTTGGCAACTTGTACATAATATATATTTCATGTATATAACTTGTTTTTGCCAGTGCGAGTTTGTATAAAGTTAGTATTTTGGGTTGATATATAATTTTTTGGAACTGCATAGACATCTGTAGTCCTGTGATAAAATGAATCAATGTTATATCATAAAGATTAAATCTGTCTCTTCATGTCGAACTGGCTGCCACAGCTCGTGATATCTTGAAGGAAGAATCAAAATCCGAAGGTATCTTTTGGAGAATTCCTTTGAAGCACCTTGAGATTATTAACGAATCCTTATACAAGATTTTCCACAGACATGTCATATATAACAAGGTATATGTATATAAACTGTTATTACAAAAGTTCTGTAACAATGAAATAAAATGACATAAAGTAAAAAGGTAGAGAAAGAAAGATATTAATTAGTAAAATATGAAAGGTAGTATAATAAAATACAGAGATGCGATGCCAAGCCACTTTCCATTGGTTTCACAGAGAGGTTATATTATATTTCATTATATTATATTTCATTATATTGAATTTATATTTCATTAAATTCTTACAAAAATTTGCACAACAGTTAGATGAAACAATTAAATAATAATGGCAGTTGACTGTGTGAGCTGCCCAGTATGGTGTGATTAGACTCGATTAAACTGGATGAAAAATATCAATATTTTTAAACTGCACCAAGATACATTGGTATTAACAGACGCCGCTGCTTTGGTTGGAGGGGGGATCAAGCCTTGTGCAATTTTATACGAATCCTTATTCTATTACAGAAATGCCCCCGTCTCTCGTGATTTCAATGTATGCTATTTTCTTTGCTGGATATTTAATAATATGGTTTACCTCCACCCAATGAACTATTATCATTACTTCAAAAATTCGGTAGAGCGTATTACGACAAATTTTAGGAGTACCCTTTCTTTTCCAACGAAACCCCAATCACGCCTCGATTGCTAAGATGCTTTGCATTTGAATATGAGCAACAAGTACAGTATTTTGTTATTTTTACTGGTGGGAGGTTTAATAAATGGCAATTTTCACAGGCCCCGAAGTATTTTGTTGTGATCAGGATTCACAGGATTCGTTATAAGCACTGATAGATTGCTCAAAATTGTAGGAACAACGTCGAGGAGCTGTGTATAGAAAAAAGAGAGAATAACTGACTCTGGGATTCTATTCCAAACTTGTTCCTAAAAATTTTCAGGGTTTTTAGACATTTACTGGGCTATTTTATGTCAACTTATGTGTTTTCCCTCAGATTAAGATCTTGATTTTGAGTAGGCTTATGAGAAACAACTGACCTGTAGAAAAATGTACGAATATTTAGGGTATATGATCTGGAGTAATTAGAAAAGTCTGCAATTTCTGATCGAAATTTCCAAGCACTGTATAGACTGTAATTTTTTTGCAGGTATGAGAATTTTTTATATATGTACATTCTATTTAATTTCGTAAGCTTTTAGACGCTAAACAATTTAGAATACTAGAGATTTAGTGTTACAGTTTTTCGATTCATCGTCCAAGCACAGTTTTCCACAAATTATAAAACCAATCGAAAAATGCCGAGCTTCTTCTCATTCAAACCATACAAACAAAACTGTTTTGCCACTTGTTTAAAAGCAAAGAATACCAAACAAGATTATATTTTCTTATCGTTACAAGCAATTTTTCAAATGCAAATCAAGTCCATTATTGGAGTCGAAAATTTTTGCAAAATTCATTTTTCAACACCTAATCTCATTATTGTAGTTCCAGCACTGCACAAAAATATTGTATATTATTGCATAAAACTGCTTTCACTGTGTGTGCGTTGAAATGAACACCTGCTTTGCACATAGCTGCCATAAATGCTTGAATGTCAGTTCAACAAATTTACAAATCAACCCCCTTTCCCCACTCTCCCATTGCAATGTTGTTCACTGTCCAAATTCCACGATTGTGTGCTGGTGAATACCTTAATGCCAAATATTATTTTTCCTGAAATTGCCTCTAAATTTTAGTAAAGTCAAATCGAAAATCGAAGCTTTGGTTTCAGATTATTTCCTCTCCAGGCACTATTCAAGCAAGTTGTTATGGGAACGTCATGTGAAGGTTGTTGTTGTGAGAAACAAACTCAACAGTCAGCACTAGGAATGCTGGGAATTCTCAGTTGGCCTAGGCGGTGTCTGAGGTACAAGAGGAAACAGTAAAGAGAAATTAATTATATTTAACTTAACTCAAAACGAAAAATGGATGATTTTCAAAGTGCCGAAGAGGTATGCTTCCATTTTTGTTACAATTTAAAGTTTAGGGCTCATTTATGTGGCAGTTTACGATTGAGTATGCGTTGTTAAGGTTGTCGTTTTCCTTTCTGATTTTCCTTTCTTTTCTTCCTCCCCTAAAGGAGTGGTTTTTTGGCCTACCTCAGCCACAGAATTTAACTCTTTCCCAGAAAAGCGTATTTCAAAATTGGAGTGAATAACTTGTACCAAAAATAAGTTATCACTTAATTGCTGTATATAAATTTTAATGTCCCTTTTTGCGAAGTAGGCCTATCATATCACTGTATAACTAAAGAAAGAGACACAACAAAGCCAGTGTATTTTTTAAATTTCAAACTCCCTTTTTCAACAATTTTCCCTTGTTGCAATTTTATAGTCTGTAAGCAGTCTGTAACAACAATAATAATACAATTTCATAGTCTATAGTCTGTAATAATAATAATTATACAATTTTTTTAAGTTGGTGACTATAATAGCAGCAATGTTTTTTTAAAGCCAACAATGGGTGTCTAGTATCAAGTGTAGGGATTTTTTAAATTTTTGTAAAGAGTAGGGATTTAAAACTGACTTCGTCTCAATGGACATTGTTTATGTTTCAATGCTGTTGTCTATGTGGTTCTTGAATAAATTAACCAATGTCAGTCTAAATTTTTGAAACCTCCTCTGTTTAATTCATTCATATACAGTAGTGACCAGCATATAAGAAACAACACTTTCAATTTCAGGTCAGACTTGTTTCTTCTATCAATAGAATAAAATGAGACAATCTTCAAATCAGGGTAAAGTTTCTTATTAGAAAAATCATGTACTAAAGATTAACTACTCAGACAGGACCTCTATCATTGTGATACAAAACATATCATTTAAGCCTGACAAACAGCACTGTATACAGAATACACTATCCTATCAAAGTGTTTGGCTATGTTTTTCAAAGGCTTTAGTATGTCCAGTTTATAATAAAATGGGGGTATTATTTTCAAAACCAAGGTCTGTGTTTCTTATATTTATGTTTCTTATATGCTGAACACTACTGTATTATCTTGTGATTTTGTGGTAATAGCAGCAGTCTAAAGCCAAATCATAATAGAAGAATAGACATTAACTTAAATACTTTAATATAAAAGCATAATGATCATGTAATAAAGTAGTAAGACTGTAGGGTTGTGCAAGTTGGTATGCAGTAAAGTTCCAGAAGTTAAGCAATGGTTAAGAAAGTCTTTACTGTTAGGCTTAAAGGAAGGTGGTCAGAAAAGAGTGCCAAATTTCTTTTGGTATTTAAGAAACTTCCCCTGACACAGCATCCTTTAGACTAAAGCATCACAAAACTTTCTTCCTTTAGTCATACAGAATATAAATTATTTTCACTTAGATAGGATAAGTCTTTGTAAAGTTGCAGATTTTTTCATGAAGAGCAATAAACAAGTACACGATATAGTTCTAACCTGAGGCGGCACCATGGTTGCCATGGAAGGGGAAGGAAATTTTTTGAATTTTTGATGCCTCCAGTTCACTAAAAAATGCACTCATTGGATGAATTTTACAACCCTACAAAGCAAGGCAACCTTATGCTTAGAATGAGAATAGAGCTTTTTGATGATATCAATCTTATTCACATCGTCCTTATCATCATCATCCATATCATTGTCGGTTCTTGAAATGCCTTCATTCTCATAGTTCGATAAAGATGGTTCTATATGTTTTTGTTGCCGATTTCGAAAGATTTCACCTCTGTCTTTTTATAGTTCAACTGTACTTTTTTAATTCTTTCAAGGTATTTCTATTTGAGATTTTTAACATAAAGTTTGAAAGCTAAAGACAGCAAAATTTCGAGATCACCTTCTAATATTAGAGGTTGTCTGGAACTCTCCGATTCTCATACTTATATTTTACTTATACCTCTAATTACGCTGTTTTTATAAACTTTCATGTCGTATTGATTAAGAGTACAGTCTAATTGAGAGCTACAATCCTGGAAAAAAATAGTTGAGACTTTTCAAGAAAACTTTGTTTTCTCTTTCCTTTGAAAAATAGCTTCCCCCTTCCCCAATTCAATGTTGAATGCATGATTTTAAAGCAAAAATGATAGAACTACCAACATTGCTTTGGGGGGAAAGGGGGGATTGGAATTTACTGGAGCAAGGTAAAGTAGAAAATTACATAAATTGCATTTTGTCTCAACATTTTTGTCCGGGATTGTGGACCCAACTTGATTTGCCTTCATATATATGTGGGAAACATTAAGCTTTTTTGTTTTGATTTTCTTTAAATCCTGTTCTGTGTGAAAATGCTGTCAGCAAGGTTAAACCGAATTCCCAGTGGGGCTCAAGCCCCCAAGTCGCCACGGAACTGATTGTTTTGCTTTAGTCTGGGCTGAAAATTTCATCATGTTGTTTTGGCTGTCAGGCTGCGAATTACCCCATATTTCCCCATTTTCAAAATTTAGCTTTTCCTATACATTTCAATGGAATTAATCGCTGTAGTGAAATTTTTCACTACAGCAGCAAAACTCAGTCAAATCTAAAGAAATATTTTAATATTAAAAAAAAGTAACTTTCAATCGAACAGTCCAAACAACACAAAGTTCTCAATATAAACTAAATTCAAGATGAAGATTTCAAATCTGAAGTCCATTTTTGAGAAACGTCTTTAGATTGCAAGATGCAAAATCAATTATATCAACCCAAAACGGTGAATATGACTTTTTTAAGCTCAGATTTAGTTTTATCACCATAATCTTAAGCTGAATACAATTTTTCATATTGTTTGTGCTTGTATTTTAGATTTTACAGAGAAACGAAGTTTGAAAACTTGTAAGGGTTTTGACCGCAAAAAAACATTCCGGGGGAAACTTTACCCCCTAGTCACCAATCACGGTCAAATAATACCATAATGAAAACTCCTAAGCAGGCTAAATTCCTTGCTGTTGATTCAAATCTGAATATTTTGTACAAAACAATTTGAAGAATTTGAAGAATTTTTCAAAAGCTGAAGGCTGTGAGTTGAATTGGTGTATTGTTCTTTGGTCTTTCTGCTAGTCCTCTTCTCATTCCACAGTCATTCCCTGGTTTTCTCTCATTCCATAGTCGTTTCGCTAGTTCTGTGGTTGTTCCTCGTTCGTTGTGCCGCTAGTTCCTCGTTTTAGCATCGTCAATGTCATCATGCCAAAAAAATTAAAGCAGACTTCGTCTAAACTTTTAAGCTAGTATGCAATCCTTGGATGACAAGTATTTGTTAAAAAACTCTTATGTTCAACATAAACAGTTTCCACGCTGTAAGCCCAATAATTTGTATGGTGAGATCTCCAAGGAGAAGCTTTCTGAAATGGAATTAATCGAAAAGCACTCAGTATAGTCATAATAGAATACATGATTTCTGTTTGCTAGAAAGTAAACTCTTTTGTATTACTGAGGGGTGAAGTGACATCCCCTAGTTTTCAGTTTTCATTTAATTTTAAAATTCCACTACATACAATCATAAAATTGATGGAAATTTGTATGGAGGGGGAATTTCTTGAGGAATTTGCCCCAAGACCCTTATTCTTGATTTGAGTTTTTCGCCTGCCCTCAAAATAATTTTTCTCTTGCTTTAGACCTGAGCTATATTCATATTATCAGTATTCCAAACAATGTCCAAACCATTTCTAGTAGTATCTGAAGAATGAGACTCTGTATCTGCTGTGCCATGCTAATTTCTGATTATCAATTTTTTGCTGTAGTAAATCCTCAAGCAGAGTAAAACATGTCATATTAAACATAAATGAAATGAGATTGAATGACAGCAAGTGGGTAAAATTGTTCAAAATAAAGAGGTAAATGCTGGAATGAGTGCATTTTCCAGTGAACTGGAAGCATCAAAAATTCGAAAATTTCCTTCCACTTCTATGGCAACCAAAGCAAGCCTTTCCAATTTGAAGATCTAGTAAAGCATTACAAATAGACCATGAGGAATAAATTGAATCTAATCATTGATTTTTGCTGGATATAACTCTTTAGGTATTATCTTAATTGAGGAGCATAATTCTAGAATGAAATTTTTGGTTATCAGTATTGTCATTTATTATATACATGTATATAATGTTTCGCAGTCCACAAGGTACTCTAGAATGAAATTCAAGCACATCCATGTAAAATCATCTTGAAAATAAAAGTATGATGATAGGGAAACGAACTACTTTGATCAATACAGCAAGATGTTGGGGTTAGGTAAAAGCGTTATAGACTTTAGGTTGATGTTTACAACTTTCTATGGATTTTGTTACCATAATTATTGGATTACAAGCCATGGATTATAATTATTTTTGGCACAATTTGCTGCTATTTATAATCAAGGTGGCTTATAAATGAGTTCCTTTCAGTTCCTGCCAAACTGTCCTCCTACCTTGAAAAGGGTCATAATATATAAGATGTGGAAGGAATACTATGGGTGTTATTGATACTCCAATGCTTGACGATATTGTTGTTGGTTGAAATTCTAATTTCTATGTGCTGTTTTAAATACACATTCATGTTTTTATTCGTTTTTGTATCTGTCATTTCAAACAAAGTATCTCTGCATGGTTTTGTGAATTACATTCATTTTTGGACCCAAATTTCTTGGTGGACCCAATCTTCTGCAGCCTATATATTCAATTGCAGCTTAGAAACAAGAGCTGCAAATGATCAAATTGGTTAGGTACACAAAAGTCGGTAGTGATCCAGTCCAAAAAGTTACAGCATGTGGTCAACATTTCACCCAATGTTTTGTTTCAATTAAAAAGTCTTTGCTAGATTGCTTTAAGAGAAATCTGCTGTTTTACCTTGGGCGCTTTTGCTTTTTTGTTTTAAACCACCTAAGTAATTTTGATATTAAATTTTGATATTTTTCAGACTGCCTTTGTTGTTGATGAAGTTTCAAATGTCATAAAAGAAGTAAGTTCTATGCTTCAATACCATTTTATTTACTTTCATGATTCAGTGGAAGTTTTTGATGTTCTCAAAGATCAGCAAGTCTTTTTAGAGTTAAATGTTACAGTCAATGTCAATACTGAGATGTTCCTACTATATTTGATGTTATTAGGTGTACTTTTTGCCTTTTTTCTTTTTCAAAGTTAATAGCTCAGCAAAGACTTACTTAGAAAGAGGAAAGAAACCCAGACACAAAGATATTGACAGTGACTCCGTAATTCTACAAATACATAGATTTAAACTAGATGTACAAAATCCATTTTTCCAGATTAAAAAGGCCACCGATACAGATATTGTGCTAATTATGTAAGATACGGATATGCTGAATGCTAAGTTAGGAGTAAGTTTTTACCCTTGTTTTTAGTCAATAGAAGGAGCTATTGGTGGAAACGCATATCAACACAACAAAGTAAACCAATGGACGTCAAGTGTTGTTGAGCAATGCCTTAATCAGTTAACAAAACTCGGGAAACCATTTAAGTATATTGGTAAGAAATGTTCTTTGATGTCACAGCCATGTTACTGCACTTAAGTAGCATCTTTCACAGCATTATTAAGTAGTTAATGATTCAGTAAGCAGTATTAAGGTGATCTTGAATCATAAAGGTGATCAATTGTTTCACAAATTTTCAGAGATAGGTGGTTAATGTGTTGAAGAAATAATTTTGAAAATTACTTGAATGCTTAGTCAAACAACAACATTCTCATTTCTTGCAAAGAAAATGATTAATTATAAGATGTTAAAAACGTTTGTGAATGTTTATAGCTCAAGTCTAAAAAAATAGTTTTGTGTGTAGTTTTGTGTGGAGTCGTGTACAAAGAGTAAAGAAAAAACTTTTCTGGAGAAACCTTTAAAATGTCTGACAACTAAGCTGTAAGATGTAATATAGGCAAGAATATCAATTAGAAATAAAAAAATGGTTGTTTTCTCAGAAACACCATTGTTACTGCCTCTGGCTAGGGTGTATAAATATTTCAGCATAAAGCATAAGAATAGAGCATGCAGTGAATATCTTTAGCAATATCTTCTTGGACTAATGCGATGTTTTCTTTCAACTAAATTGTTTGCATATTTCATTGTTCTTTTGCCTTTCTAAACCTAAGCACATTGAAAATGGTACATGAAGTATACAGTGATTTAAGCATTTTTTTAGTTTGTAAATCTCTTGTGCTTTATAGTTTCGTTCATATGCTAATTTTGACAAATTATTTTTTACAGTTACTTGCGTCATAATGCAGAAAAACGGTGCAGGCTTACACACAGCTAGTTCTTGCTTCTGGGATAATACGACAGATGGTAATGTACAATTTCAATATTTCATAATATCAGTACTGAATTCATTCTCTCGATTGTTTGGGTGCAAAAGCTGCAAAAAGGTTTTCTTGCCTATGAAATTGAATTTTTATGGAAGCAAAAACTATATTATGATAATGGTGTTTTTGATAGATCGTTGGTTGCTGTAATCAAATGTTATTAAATTTGTGTGGTCGTCTGAGAACTGCACTGGAACAGAGCCAGAGATTCATTAAAAACCTTTTATTGTCTTCAAATGAAACGAACATAATACATTGACGTTTACTTTGGAAGAAAAACAATTTCAATTCTCCTAAACTCACATCCAACTTGGAAGAGTTTCAGTGACATCCAATTTCTCCCTGTGAGGATTAATTGGATACGAGGGGATAATGAGTCTTAGCCTTTCTGAAATGCAAGATTAGAGCATTTCTTTCATTGCGTGTCCTATACCCACCCCTTACTGTATATTCTAGTCTTCGCGAGGAACACAAAAATTTTAATCCTTTATTCCGCCCACGCATTATTAAGAATCTGCCACAGATTCTGTGCACAAAATTTGTTTATCTGGTCGTGTCCCCCGCGAAAATTTCATCACTTAAACTTCCGACTTCTGATAACAAGAAAAAACAAAAGGTACAATGTCTTTTCGAAAGCCTTTGCTACGATTTTCCCGCGCGATTTCGCAGAAAACATTAGTTATCTGCAAATTTCAAATTATTTTTCAGACGTTTCTCGCGCAGAAAAGGTTCTTTACAGTCTGGTACCCACCTTTTCCTTCTAGTCAGCAACAAGAAGCAAATGACCGTAGGGCGATAACCAACGATTTATCCGACCCAAATGCCTGCGCCTTGTATTGCATCATTCTTGATATGTAATACCTCCCTTAATTTGCTTCTTGCAGGAAGCTGCACTGTGCGATGGGAAAACAAAACAATGTATTGTATTGTCAGTGTGTTTGGACTTGCAATTTAAGAAAGTAACCTGCAAAGAACACTTTAACTCGGCAAAAGGACAGTATTTATCTTTTTTCTTTGCCAATGTTTACAAGCATTGACTCAGCAACTGATTAAACCCGTCGCTCATTAATATTGTAAATCAAACCATTGTAGATAACATATATATTGTTTCAGATATTTGTTTGCAGTGTTGTATGTTATGAGCAACAGAATGCCCTGTATTACATACTAACTCTTACCTTAAAGTTGTTTGTGTCTCTCAATTTTGGTATATATAGGTATATTTTGTCTCTCACAGTATTCTGTAGCCTTTCTTCCATTCTAGCCTCCTTTTCGAGTCTTTCTTATTCTTAGTGCTACTTTTCCTTTGGTTTTGTGCACTTGTTTGTGTTTTTTAGAACAAAGGGGAGGGGGTGCTTTTGTGGGGCTACTCGTCACTCACTTAAAACTCCCATTAAAGAGTTCGAGAGCATTGATCTAAGCCCATAAGGGAATTTGCTTCCTTCACCTTGCAATGCCATTGCTTGTTTATCTTTAACCTAAGACTTTGTACATTGTTACCCACACCTAGACTATCGACCTATTTTGGTTAACTTCTCTGGCCATCAACACCATTTTACTCCGTTATCTTGTACCTTTCATTATAAAACCCTTCCGTCGCCTTCATTGCAATGCCTAAAGTTATCTCCCCCAATGATAATATTTTACCAGCTCCCATTTTTTTTCCATACCCAATCTTTCGTGGTTACCTTCATTAGTCTTTACCTATGCCCTTTTAGTCTTAAAGTTTTCTCTCAAAGCCATCGTTTCAAAATTGTTGATTCTTATTTCATCATATTTATCAGAACTTTGTGCATCCGCGCGGATCGCTAGTACGCTTTGTACCGGTTAATTTGAAGTGTGGAGGGAGAGATCCAAGTGTAATTTTAATCACTCAAAAATTTCATATGCGAGTCTGTTACGTAGAATAACCAAACAAACTCGCGATTTGATAAATGAAATCACTTCAGGGTTTAGACCCTTGACTCAAAGCAATGATCTGTAACTTCAACCTTCGTTCTTGGCTAAGCGTGATTCTTCTTGTCACTTGATGCTATATCTTTAAGTACGTGGTCTGTGTAAAATGCTTTAGTTTTATTTGTACATTCCTGCCTATCTCTTTGTTTCAAGTTTACAGTTTTATTTGGTCATATTTTCCTTAGATAACTCAGCCTGTCCTGACTACACGAACACGAAGTTTCTTGTACAAATTTGCTACGTTCCCGCTATGAAGTAAAATAATAAGGTACATGGGCTATGAGGTACAAAATTGTTTAAAATAAGGGGGAGGGATACACTCCCTTTACAAGAACAATTTTTTAATAATACGGGCCTCAAAATTAGTCAAAAATTAGGAACAAATTAGTACCAAGCTGAGGCTGAGCTACTGCAAAATGTAATTTTAAACAATGTTGACAAACCCCCTTAAAATTGGCAAATGAGGTCTAAACTCCTCCCTAGAGTACATTGTATTCTACCCTGGGTGCTAGAGCCTCATTGAGAGAGTGAATCGGTAAAAGAATCCGACCACTGTTTGGCCTCTTTCTCAGAGGCACTGGTACCCAGGGTTACTGCACTGCTAACACCCTTTGAAAAAATGAAGAATAAATTAAGAACACTCCAGCCACAAATTTCTTGAAGAAATTAAGAACAGCCAGCCTGAACTTCAATTTACTGGTTCTTAGAAGAAAAGAGTGTATAGATAATAACACTGTATTTTTGTCAAGACAATTCAATGCAACATTCAAAGTTTTTATCGAAAATATTGAGATGCTAAATGTTTCATAGCCTTGAAAACCATTCTTCCATAGAAGTGAGTTTATACACTTTTTAGATGGCCTCGTGCGCATTCTCTATGAATCTTTTGCTTTTGAGAAACGTAAAAAAAGTTGGAGTCGAGAGGACTGCAACTGTCAAATTTGTAAAAAATAAAAACATTCTGTTCCTTGTATAATCTTCTTTTTGTTTTTTTTACAAATCTTTAGAGTTTCATTTATATTTGAGTATTTAATGTAAATAGTTGGTCTGGATTAGTTTTATTCATATAAATATATAAAAACTAACATTATTCCAGATTGCGTTGTGTATTATGACTTAACAGTGCTCGATGTGCAAAAACACAGAGCAATAGATAAAGTAGAAGATAGGCTAGAAATGAGACATGTTCTCTGTTACTCCGAGTTTCCTAACATTAAACACTAACGTTAATGAATTTAATAATAATAGTATTAATTATTATTTAGAGTATCAAATTGACGGGGGTTAATATAATCAGGGGGCTAAGACATTTCAAAAGGATGGTCGGTGATACTGGAAAAACCAGGGGGCTCTGAATATGGAAATCATTGGCTTTCTTAGTTTTCGTTGTTGAAATTCATTATTATTGGGCTTTTATCTTATCACGACTAACTCTACTACACTCTCTTTTATAAGAACCCGTAAATTTAACAGGCTGACTGTTCTTAATTTTTTCGAAAATCTGAGGCTGGATTGTTTTTATTTTTTTCTTAAATTAAGAGGGTGTAAGCAGTGCTATTGCTAGCTTTTTCGCTCTAAGGAGGTGTTCAGGCCACATTTGCTAACAAAGTGAGTGAGGCAGCCTTAATTTGCTGACAAATTTGAATATTCACCGAAAAAGCACCCACGCATCGCTAAAAATCCTCGATTTTGAGAAAAAACGTTGTTCAAAATTGTATTTTGCAGAAGCTCAGCCTCAGCTTGTTCTTAATTTGTTCTTAACTTTTGACCAGTTTTGAGGCTCTTGTTCTTATAAAAAAAGAGTGTAAATGGTATTTATGGCGTCCTTCCGTTTCTCTTGTTACAGCTGCATTCTAAAGGCACGGGGGCTGTCCATAGCGACGGCTTAGTTTGTACGGGTAGACGGCCGCCATGAATTAAACCATGCAGTTCTGCGTTAATGAGACGTGAATAATTTTGTTTTAGCATTAATATTTTATAGGTTGAATAACTGAAAGGAAGTGCCTGGCTGTTTGTTATTTGACACCCATTACCGCTTGAATCATTGTACTTTATTTTCAAAGCGCTTCCGGAACAGTCTTTTCTCTTTCTTTTGCCTTCACTCCATTTCTTCGGTAGGCAGTCCCTCTATAATTCACTGTATCTGATTTTATTTAATATTTTTATTTTCCGCAAGGTTGCTCCGCGCGCAACATTATCTACGGGTTTTTATTTATACCGTGAGAAATTTAAAATGGAGGCAAAAGCTGCCCAAATTTTTTACATTTGGACTTTCATAAAGGCTGATAAAGGCTTTTTAATTTAAAACTATTCTTACAACTCCATCTGGATTTCAACTTAAATATTCGCCTAAACCTGCCCGTCCGCATGACAAAGTTTCTTGGCTGGGGGAAAAGGTCATGTTTTGAGTCATTCAGTATTTTCAATAAACCATGACTGTAGTGTGAATTGGAAAGTTTCTGTCCTAATACCGACATCGAATTTGTCTAGTCTTGCTTGCCCCTACAGTCTCACGGGTTATCGTTTTTTTGGGGATATCTTTATTGTCAGCGTAACATTTACCAAGACTACAACATTCCATGTGTCCAAATCAGCTGAGAGTGTACATTTTTTTCCAATCAGTCAAATTATGTTGGCTCAAATTGGTTGGTTACACTGAACTCTAAAAATACTTTTGTCCTTATCATAGGTGTGTCGAGTAACATTAAAATGAACGTCGCAGCATAATTTTTTAACCAGTGTTGTGTTATAATATGAACTTCTCTGCTGTATTTTAATCTGAAGAAAATTTAGGAAATGACTCCCCCCACGCCCAATTGCTTGCAAAATGTAAGATTAAATTTGTAGAATGGTAATTTAAATGAAATCTCAGAAACTTTTCTTAATGTATCCACCTATATGTAAGGCGAATCTCTGTAACAGTCGTAGATGTAACCTAACAAGAATCTACTGCTTTAGTCACTTTGCTGCAAACCGAAAATTCTGGAAATATAGAGAAAACCATAAATCTAAATTTGTTTGTTTCTCTCAAATTTATTTGATATATTGATAATGTAACAGAAAACTCTTCTAATCTTTTTCCATTGTGTTTTATTCGTGTTTTAAAGCAAGTGTCAATAAAACTCTCCTCGTCATGAGAATAAGCATATGTGTGTATATGTTTGTATTATTTGAAATCCTTTGCCTTGATATTAAATGTTATGCCTCTATCAATGTTTGGTTATCAACAAAGCTGTTCAATTTGGTGAACACGTATTTCGTTTAAACAGCCACTCTGAAGTGAAATGGTTCGATAAAGAACAAAGGCGAAGAAGAAATACTAATTTTTGCAAAAAAATCAATAAAAAGCATTCACCCTAGGCTCTCTAGACGTCAAGAAGATTTGAGGTGCAATGTTTGATCATCTGCTACCAAGGACCGAGATACCGAGGGCGCCGGGGGGCCTTGACCCCCCCCAAAAAAAACTAAAGAAGCATGGATGAAATACTTTTATTTTGTAAAATATGGCTGTTGTTGCCCTTATTTATCAGGGTTGACGCCTTCCAACGGTTGTATCTCGGCCTTTATCTTCTACGGTCGAGGGGCAATTCACTCTTTCAAAAAGCGTACGAGATTTGCTCTAAAACAAAAGGATTTTGGGGGATTTCCAAATAAAACAATAGGATTTCCACCAAAGGTGTACAAGATTTTTTGGAGTGATTTCCCCCCTCGGCTACGGGGAGGTGATTTGCCCCTCGGAGATTTTTTGGAGTGATTTTCCCCTCGGCTACGGTCTCCAACTAAAACCTTAAGGATTAATGTTTATACATAAATCCGTTTATGGAAGCTGTCATCGAACTTATTGAGAAAATTGTTCCAAATATGTTATTAGTCTTTAATCACCTCTCCTGTAAGCAATGACCATCAAAATCTTCCCTATTGCACTTTTCACTAAATTCATTTTTTCGGTTTCATTTTTCAATAATTCATCATCCAGCTGATAGATGTCTCTTACCGAGGGGCGTTTCACTCTTGCAAATATCGTACAAAATTTTGCCTAAAACAAAAAGATTTCTGGGGATTTCCAGATAAAACAATAGGATTTTCACGAAAGGTGTACGAGATTTTCTTAGAGTGATTTGCCCCTCGTCTCTTACCATATCCTAATTGAATTCCATTGCTTACATGAAGTTTCATTGATTCTCTATGATTTATTTCCGCATTTTTCTACCAAAATGTGTTTGTGTTTTAAGCACTCATTTTCAAAAGGAAGAGAGCCCCAAACAAAAGCGGGAGGTCATTTC